TGAAGTGAGTGCATGTACTGTTTGATATAAAATAGAAAATCTGATTCCAAAACAAAATTATAACCATGATAACAGTAATAATAGACAATATGCCATGAAACCAAAATATCTGAAACAGTTTACAGATTATCTGATAATATGCAGATAATTACAACAATTTGTGACATAACAAGTACCGGTACAATCTAAGCATATCGTTTTTATACGTTTATATGTTTATGAATACGTTTATTTAGCTAAGATACTGTGGTACTCTGATCATGTCAAACTTTACAATGTTTCACTGATACAGAAACATTTTTATTTGATATCCTTGGAACCCATTTCCTTGGAACCACCTCCACGGTGTAGTGGCATAGCGTCCGCCCGGAGAGCAGAAGGTCCAGGGTTCAATCCCCGGCCGCATCATACAAAAAAACATTAAAAGATGGTACTTGTTGTTACCCTGCCTGCTGCTCACCACTAAGGGGTTAAACGAGGACTGGCTGGCTCGGGGTCAGTATGCTGTGTCTGAGTTGAGTATTCATGTTAAACTGTGGCCTGGTGTCTCAGTGGGCTAGCACCATGAATTCAGCATTAGTCTGGCCTAGTACAAGCAGCCACACTCACATGCATGCACATTACTATATAAGTACAATAATCTTGGAGGCGACGTTAAACACCGTTAAACACCATTTCACATCACATCACCTCACCTTTCCTTTAAAAGTTCAGTTTCTTTTCAAGCACTATCTTCATATTCAAATCTTATTGTGGGTTTTGTTACATGAAGGCTTTTTCAAATTGTTGCATCAGAATTCAAGGCCTTTTCAAAATATGTGTGAACTTTGTCATGTTTTTCTGACATAACATACACCTGTATTTGGAGTTAGCCTTTAAAACTGTGACAATGGAACTTGTTCTCATTAACTGTGCCTAAAAAACAAAACACAAAACATCTCTGCACAGCATATAACTTTTAATTGCATTTTAAATGCAAAGATGTGTGAGAAAGACTAGTTTTGATGGTAAAGTTGTTTGTTACTGCATTGTAACATTCTGGAAAATGTTATTTATTTGTTTTTATAAATAATTTTATTTATTACAATGATATATTTTCAATTTTCTCAGTCTTTTGAGTAAGCGGATTCCTAAACCAAACAGAAAAAGTTAAAAAAGCTTTAACATGCTAAAGATACAACAGAGCTTGAGATAAGCTGCATATTGGTGTAAAATGTGCATTAAATACACTGAAATACAGAGATAAATCTAATCCTAGCATATCAAATACGCAACAAAAACTATAAATACGCTATTGAAATAAAACTAATGCGTATATGATTGTGTATCAGCCGATCACGGAAAAGATTGTGCGACAAACAAACTTGAATACCGATACATTCCATTTGAAAAGCACATCATGCCTAGTCAATACATCTTAAACAAGTCATTGATTGGAGATAAAAAAATAGTGACTTTCTTATATTTCTAGGTTTTGCAAACAAAAATGGCTTCCCTTAGAGGGAGCATCTTCCAAAGGCAAGGGAGTTAACTGACTCTAAAAGTCAAGTTTCCACCCTTGCCAAACATGCCAAACTAGGCTGGTATTATGTAATTATAATTTGGCTGGATTAACAAGTCTATGCATAGTCCAAACAAAATTGCGTAATCAAATCGACATCCGGTTCATAAACTGTCATGCAGATTTCAGTCAATTGCAGGATTTGTAAAGCTTGTGCACCGACAACTCAGCATCTACAGATATTTTCCAAATATTTTTAATCAAGCTGCCCACATGATTTGATGCACTTCCATTGTAAGACCCATTTTATCACAATATAGATCTTGATTATAGATCAGATTGTCTTGACTGGGCGCTGCCATTTTGTTTGAAACATGTACAAGTGATATAAGAGGTGGAATCTGATTGGTCAAGAGGGGCATAGAAGGGACATAGCTCATGATAGCCACTGGTGTCGCTACGATTGAGGCCAGAAATTCCCGCCTGGTTTGGCAAGGGTGGCAACTTGACTTTTATAGTCAGTTAACTCCCTTGCCTCAGGAAGATGGGGAGGGAGCTGCAAGCAGACACAAAGGGGTATGCAACAATTCATTTAGTTTTAAATGATTTACAGGGACTGTTACAAAACAGGTTGAAATGCTTAATGTCAAGAAACAGATGGGTAAAAATACCCTGTAAAAATTGTGCATATCCAATTCAAAATCAAACCCCTGAATAAACAACTCTAAAAACAAAAAGCTTATCTAGAGCTCTGATCCAAAATAATAAGTAGGTTCAATGGTTCATTCTTACAAACATAACATCTGATAACATTATTGGGACCGTCCTGTGCCCGTAAACATGACAAACTGAAGAAAAAGAAAATATGAACTGAGGATGAAGATGTGGTAACCAGAAAAACCATACTATCCAACACCTGGATCAGATGAACTTGAGTTCTCCATCAAGGTGGGATATTGTGACCTTCATTCATGGGATCAACAAAACGTACTAGACATGGCCTTGTTGACCCTCCATACAGAAAGGATGTACAAGCCACTTATGTCATACGTCATTCAGAAGCTGCCTTCAATAGTTATACTGATTATATCTGATCGCTCTCAAAACTAATGGTGGCAAGTAGCAAATAGTCACTGGTAAATTTGTTTTGTACCTGAAAAATACATGGTGCAGATGGCTGGCTACTAACGATGCGTGTGACTCAAACGACACAGGTCACTCTGACAGAATACTGGTGTGACTCAGCGGCCATCAAATACCCAGTCCATATCCAATGTCAACAACACTCATAGCAATGCAAAGTGGAAGACTCCTTCCTTAGACTAAAAAAACACTGCCATATTTTCAAATTACATTGCTTGAGAGCCAATTCTTTTATCTTTTTAAGCCTAAAGAAGGACATTCACCTGGAATGAAGGTCACTCAACATTCTCAATCAATAGTAATAAGACTTCAAGCATCATTAAGTGGCTATTTTTTCCTGCAACCCTCCTTCTGTGTCAAGGTTCCCCCCGATATCCTTCACCAGTGTGATGCTGTACAACGTCAAGGTATTGACCTCCAGGACCACAGCAGGGCAGAGAGTGACTGCATCACACATCATAATGTGCAACCAGTACATGTTCTGTGTGGCTCTCCTTGTAATCTTATATCTCTGTGCAGTTGTGGAAGCGTTAGGAGTGTATCCATTCCAGTATGTAGCGCATTGATCTCACTACATGTAATCTCTCCCTTGCAGCCACATGTCTGAGGTCTATTTACTATGAAAAACTTGAACCTTGTCTTGACATGGGCCACAGCAGCGTGCAAGTAGCAGTGGTATCTTTAAGGAAGTCTGCTGGTCTGTGTTAGCAGCATTCAACTAAGATAGATTAAATAGCAAATATTTTAGAAAAAGCTAACTGTCCCCAAAATAAAAGAAGGTGGCTTGTGTGAGTGAATAGGTGTCTTGTTAACTGCAGCACAAAACCTCACTGTCTCACTGTCACAGAAGCGTAGAGGGAAATCTCTCACCACCACTTTTGCACATAAGTTTGATTGATATATTTAATTTTGAAAAAACAACAATTAACACACTTCATCTACTAGTCCACGGAGGTGGTGCTATCCATTGTAGAAATCTCGCTTATGTTGTACTTGGTGTAAGAAATAACATCACACATGTTAAGATTTCTCATAAAATGAGATTTGAGTTGGCTATGGCAGATGGGCGAGTATCAGAGACCCCAAGTCATGTAGATTATCAGTTCATCTTCACATTCTATATTGTGATATGCACATACAGGTACCAGCAAAAACATATTACTCTACTTGATAAACACGGAGAAGTTAGGAGGGAAACAGACATTCAAATAAAAATGAGGGCGGTGAGGTAGCCTAGTGATTAAAGCGTTCACTCGTCACGCTGAGGACCGGGGTTCGATTTCCCACATGGGTACGATGTTTGAAGCCCATTTAAGGTGTGCCCTGCTGTGATATTGGTGGAATATTGCTACGTAAAACCATACTCACTCACTCAAATAAAAATGCATGCAGTTGACTAATTGACAAGGTAGAATCCATGTTTGCCCAACTGGATGTGCATAATTTAAGAAGTCAGGAAGACTTGTTATGATTTTGTTTTGTTTGTTTGTTGTTTTACGCCACACTCAGCAATTATCCAGCTATATGACGTCGATCTGTAAATAATCGAGTCTGGATCAGACAATCCAGTGATTGACATCATGAGCATCGATCTACACAATTGGGATACAATGACATGCCTTAACCAAGTCTGTGAGCCTGACCACCTGATCTTGTTAGTCGCCTCTTACGACAAGCATAGTCACCTTTTACGGCAAGCATGGGTTACTTAAAACCCATTCTAATCTGAATCTTCTCGGGTCGCAGTGTCAATATACATCTGCTGACATCTGTTATCTAAAGCGTAAGTCTTGTTTAATGTCACAGTTATCTGATCACAGCGGTCAGGACATAGCTTCATATATGACACAAGCAGTTAGATCAGATAGCAATGAATTTCTAGGTAAGTTGAAACATTTCATGGATTACGCAGTGGAATGTGACTTTAACATGTCGTGATGATGTCATTTCATCAGTGCAACATCCACACTGAAACCAAAACTGTTGAGTGAGTGAGTGAGTTGGGCTTGAAAAGTATTTTAGTTACATCATGGCATGTCAGCTTAATGTGGAAGGATGTTCACCAAACGTAGAAACATAAGTGGGTGAACTGGGATTCGAATCCACAATCAAAGGTTCCTGGCAAGGCTAAGGGACGCAACTCTGCACAGCAAAGTGCAGATGATAGGGAAGCGCTGCTTGAATGTCTTGATAAAAACTTGATATAAGTCTTGAGCCCAACCCTGGCCCATCCCTAGGCAAACTGAAGACTCACCATGGAGAGGGATATAACTATAGGCTTCACAAATTGTGTGAAATGAAACCATATCAATTAACGTGCCAAGCAATGTGCCCAATAATGTAGCAAGTAACTCACCTGTCTGTCTTTGGTTTGGAAGAAAAGAGATCCTCATCGATGTCATCTGCAAACAAACTGTTGCTGGATGCAGAGCCACTTCGCGATGTTTTCTTCACATCAGTTGACCCACGTAGCGAGGAGCTGGATGCTGACTGGCTGGACTTCACGCTGCCACTTCGAGACTTTTCTTCATCTTCTCTCTCTTCATCTTCCTAAAATGTTACAATCAGTTCAGTTTGTCGAGAAATTCATTGTTACAAATCCAAAGCTTGTGACATACTCTCTATGCATAACAACATGTGTGGTTGTTATCTTTTGTTTGTTTGTTGTATAACGCCTCACTCAGCAATATTCCAGCTATATGATGGCGGTCTATAAATAATTGAGTCTGGACCCAGCAATCCAGTGATTGACATCATGAGCATCAATCCATGCAATTGGGATACGATGACATGCATCAATCAAGTCAGCAGGCCTGACCACCCGAACCCGTTAGTCACCTCTTACAACAAGCATAGTCAGCCTTCTGTTTAATAACAACAACCATCAAAGTCATCATCATCATCATCATCATCATCATCATCATCATCATCAAGAGAAGGGGATACACTACAGGGAGAAGGGACATGGTCTGATGATGCTCTAGAGGACATTGTGCACTAAACCAGTGCATCAGTCTTTGTAAACAAAGTATTTCATGGTCGTCTAGATGTATTTCCTTTTCTTGTTTAACAGATGTTTTTGTGAAATATTTGGTGGTAAGTGAAAGACAGAAAATAAAGAAATGAAAAGAAGTGAAGACAATGAACATCTCCTACTCCCTATCCAAGTGAAGACAATGAACATCTCCTACTCCCTATCCAAGTGAAGACAATGAACATCTAACATTCACTTTTTCCTTATCCAAAGTCCACTCCGTATCCAAGTGAGGACGGTGAACATCTACTACTCCCTATCCAAGTGAAGACAGTGAACATCTACTACTCCCTATCCAAGTCCACTCCGTATCCAAGTGAAGACAGTAAACATCTACTACTCCCTATCCAAGTCCACTCCGTAGCCAAGTGAAGACAGTAAACATCTACTACTCCCTATCCAAGTCCACTCCGTATCCAAGTGAAGACAGTAAACATCTACTACTCCCTATCCAAGCGAAGACAGTGAACATCTACTACTCCCTATCCAAGTGAAGACAGTGGACATCTACTACTCCCTATCCAAGTGAAGACAGTGGACATCTACTACTCCCTATCCAAGTGAAGACAGTGGACATCTACTACTCCCTATCCAAGTGAAGACAGTGAACATTTACCTCTCCCTATTCCCTAACCAAGTCGACTCCGTATTTAAGTGAAGATAGTGAACATCTACTACTCCCTATCCAAGTCCACTCCGTATCCAAGTGAAGACAGTGAACATCTACCTCTCCCTATTCCCTAACCAAGTCGACTCCGTATCCAAGTGAAGACAGTAAACATCTACTACTCCCTATCCAAGCGAAGACAGTGGACATCTACTACTCCCTATCCAAGTGAAGACAGTGGACATCTACTACTCCCTATCCAAGTGAAGACAGTGGACATCTACTACTCCCTATCCAAGTGAAGACAGTGGACATCTACTACTCCCTATCCAAGTGAAGACAGTGGACATCTACTACTCCCTATCCAAGCGAAGACAGTGGACATCTACTACTCCCTATCCAAGCGAAGACAGTGGACATCTACTACTCCCTATCCAAGTGAAGACAGTGGACATCTACTACTCCCTATCCAAGTGAAGACAGTGGACATCTACTACTCCCTATACAAGTGAAGACAGTGAACATTTACCACTCGCTATTCCCTAACCAAGTCGACTCCGTATCCAAGTGAAGACTGTGAACATCTACTACTCCCTTTCCCAGTCCACTCCATATCCAAGTGGAAACAGTAAACATCTACTACTCCCTATCCAAGTCCACTCCATATCCATGCTTACCTCGCTATCTGAAGCTGGTCGTTGTTTCTTGATGGCTGCAGCGAGGGGATTTGGAGCTCCCCCAAACATGGATACCGCCCCTGCTGGCAACTGCAACATTACAAGCAAACCTTATAGTGCCTATAGCATGTATAGATAGTGGTCATTGTCTTCCTATAATTCATCAACAGCAGACAGTTAACCAGACATCCATCTGATTTTGTGCATAAATGGTGATTTGTATTAAAGCTGTCACATCAGTTCATTTCAAATTGGTCTGAACATTCATTTGTGAGTCAGTTTCATAGTTACTAAATCTCTGCATGACTTCTCACCTGATCAATACCTACTGATTTGGTTGGCCATCAAACTTGACCACTGGTTTACATGTAACATTTCTACAAGTTGTGGAAATCTGTATGTCTTTGAAACCACTGCACACAGATATTGACAAGTGTTACCTTCTTTTCTGTCTTCTTGGCCTTGGGTTTAACCTCCTCTGCTTTGGGTCCAGACATTTTACGTGTACTAGCGGCCGACTGACCCATAAACAGATCCCCCTCTTCGTCCTCGTCCTGGTCAGCAAACAGGTCACTCGATGCCTTGGAAACCTTCGGCGCTGATGTTGTCTTTGCTATTTTTTCTACAATAACATTTTATGATGCGATTCGACGAATGAGTAATGTTTATGCCATTTTGATCAATATTCAAGAAAAATATTTAGCAGACAAAATGATGTAACATAGTCTAAGTGTTCTCCACTTGACAAAAAATACGATCCAATGGTGTGGACAATATTCCTCTATGTGAACACATTAAGGTGGTAACTATCAGAAAACAAAAAAGTAACAATGCAAACTTTCATGCTTTTAAAATACTACTATTGATGGAGACTTTTAACAGATGTCTCTACCTTTCTTTGGCTGTGTCTTGTTGGAGGGAACTGCAGCAAACAGATCCCCCCCTTCGTCTTCCTCCTCATCAAACAGCCCTCCTCCTACACTGGCTGCCGCTGCTGCAGGTTTCGACTTGGAGGGTTTCCTTGGTGCCGGGGCCTCGTCCTCCTCCTTGATGGAACTGCCGAACAGTCCCGAGTCACCATCTGAAGATGGAAGATGACAGAACCAGACAGTAATAAATCACAGCTCATAATCAAGTTAGTGAGTGAATGTTGTTTAATGCTGCGGCCAGCAACATTCCAGCGGCACCAAACACTACAATCAAGTCTGGACCAGTCATCTTCCTGAAGCAAGGTGGTTAACTGACTGTAGGTCCAGTTGGCTCTTACGACACGAATGGGATACTGGGTACCTACTGTAACCCAGATTCCTCAAGGCCCATCACTTGTTGAGAAATCAACCATGAATACTTGTACCATTTATTGATGATACGCTAACACTTGTAAGTATGTTATATGCCATCACGCCCTGACCTCACCTCCAAATATGGACACAGCTCCTCTGGGCAGTCTCTTCCCACTCGCTGTCCGTGGTCTGGTGTCTGGCAAACAATTCAACTTGAATCAACCACTTATAATTTAAACAAATGTTCTTTCACTATCATGTTTCTGAGCATGTATAATCAAAACTGACCAGAAACTTAAAATCAGTCACACTAGAACATTTCAAACAAAAATCCGGTAATGCTCCAAAAGGTTTCTTTCCATAAAATCATTTCCCAAGAGAGCATATCCATTACAAAGTGGACTGAAGAATTGTTCATGGATTGTCTGGTGTGTAGTTCAAATACAAGAACAATGCAATTTACTTCGCAGATTGACCTTTACGCTGCACATGATTTCAATGTGTATCGGAGGAACATTTAGGTTAACTGTTTCGTGACTGTTTGCATATTTACTTTCAGGAAATGAACTGTGTTGTAAATACATTCAGTTTCACGGAAAGAACATTAAAATGCACATGCTTTGCCCAAATGTTTGTATTATATAAGCATGTTGGTTGATCTTTAAAGTGAGTGAGTGAGTGAGTTTGGTTTTACGCCGCTTTTAGTAATATTCCAGCAATATCACGGCGGGGGACACCAGAAATGGGCTTCACACATTGTACCCATGTCGGGATTCGAACAAGGGTCTTCGGCGTGATGAGCGAACGCTTTATCCACTAGGGTACCCGACCGCCCCGATCTTTAAAGAAGTCTACCTTAAACCATAGTGGTGACTAGACATTAGAATGTATCATTATACAGACGGTGCTCATTATAGTCAGCATGACGTTGTTAATATTTTAACCTTCAGTCATATTGGGACTGATTTCAGAAAGGAAATACTCCTATATTCGTGTGGTGTTTTGCTTTCAATTGTTTTGGTTTTTGTATGTAAATATGTAATCATGTGATATTAAAAGGTGAACAGAAAACTTTACCGTTTATTTTTATTCCACTTCGAAACACAAAGCATGTGACCTGAAACCTACTCCTACCTTTAACTGGTTCTTCCTCCTCCTCTTCCTCTTCTTCTTCTTCCTCAGACTCCTGCACCACCTTCTTGGACTGTCTCCTGGCTGGCTTCTCCACATCATCAAACAGGCCACCCTGAAACACACAGCGGCCATGTCACACATGGTCTAACAAACAGGGAAACTACACTTTGGTCCTGCCCCACCCTGAAACACACAGCAGCCATGTCACACATGGTCTAACAAACAGGGAAACTACACTTTGGTCCTGCCCCACCCTGAAACACAGCAGCCATGTCACACATGGTCTAACAAACAGGGAAACTACACTTTGGTCCTGCCCCACACTGAAACACACAGCGGCCATGTCACACATGGTCTAACAAACAGGGAAACTACACTTTGGTCCTGCCCCACCCTGAAACACACAGCAGCCATGTCACACATGGTCTAACAAACAGGGAAACTACACTTTGGTCCTGCCCCACCCTGAAACACACAGCAGCCATGTCACACATGGTCTAACAAACAGGGAAACTACACTTTGGTCCTGCCCGACACTGAAACACAGCAGCCATGTCACACATGGTCTAACAAACAGGGAAACTACACTTTGGTCCTGCCCCACACTGAAACACACAACGGCCATTTCACACATGGTCTAACAAACAGGGAAACTACACTTTGGTCCTGCCCCACCCTGAAACACACAGCAGCCATGTCACACATGGTCTAACAAACAGGGAAACTACACTTTGGTCCTGCCCCACCCTGAAACACAGCAGCCATGTCACACATGGTCTAACAAACAGGGAAACTACACTTTGGTCCTGCCCCACACTGAAACACACAGCGGCCATGTCACACATGGTCTAACAAACAGGGAAACTACACTTTGGTCCTGCCCGACACTGAAACACACAGCGGCCATGTCACACATGGTCTAACAAACAGGGAAACTACACTTTGGTCCTGCCCGACACTGAAACACACAGCGGCCATGTCACACATGGTCTAACAAACAGGGAAACTACACTTTGGTCCTGCTCCGACACTGAAACACACAGCGGCCATGTCACACATGGTCTAACAAACAGGGAAACTACACTTTGGTCCTACCCCACCCTGAAACACACAGCGGCCATGTCACACATGGTCTAACAAACAGGGAAACTACACTTTGGTCCTGCCCGACACTGAAACACACAGCGGCCATGTCACACATCGTCTAACAAACAGGGAAACTACACTTTGGTCCTGCCCGACACTGAAACACACAGCGGCCATGTCACACATCGTCTAACAAACAGGGAAACTTTTACAAACCTGTAGAGGTTATGAATTCTCTGATGAAATCCTCCTTGGGGCACTTATTGCATTTTCCTTGCTCAAGAAAATCTATATGACATAGTTGTAACCATTTTCCTTAATAAAAAATGTTACCACACAAAAAACTTCGTTTTTGTATGATATACGACCACCCTTACGGGGCCTCACCCCCAACGGCGCCTCACGCCAGGGGGAGCAACTCTCACCCAAATCACTTTCCATATGTCAAATGCTGACGGAATGTGGGGAGGTGGGTGGCCGTGCCCCAAGGAGGATTTCATCAGAGAATTCATAACCTCTACAGGTTTGTAAAATTCTCTTTCTGATTAAATCCTCCTTGGGGCACTTATTGCATCAAGACAGACTCCCAAAGATAATCTAGGAAGTGGCATCCGTCAGCAACAGGCGTAAATAAATACATCGTATTTGATTATTCAACAGAATAAAATATTGAGTTCAATAAATGGAACCAACCTTATCGTGAGGCAGGCTAGAGACAGGGCGTGGTCGACCATATATTATGATAAAGCCTGTTTTTGCGGCTTGTCATAAGTTGAGAACTCGAAACACCTCCCACCCCCCCACACTTTTTTGAACAAGTGATATAAGGGCGTAGATCACGAGAGACCATAACCAGCGCTGAGCCAGGCCAGAGGGTCCCCGAGGATCGAAGGAGTGCGTGCGCAAAATACGAGTATTATCGAGTAGTAAGGACTGATATTTATCGACCGCAGAAGATAAAATCCGGACCATTACTGAGCAGTATAACCGGAAGACTGTCTAAAATCTCGAATGCTCAATCAGCTAGAGATTAGAACTTTGCCCAGTTCGGAGAACTGACTGACCAAACCGAGTACGCTCGCTTGAGTGTTTGTCGAGTTGGTAAGGTTTGATGAATCGTGCTCGGCTGGCTCCAAATAGCCGCGGAGCAGATCTGCTCAATGGGCAGAGCCGCGGCGTACGCTTTTGACGCAGCCACTGCTCTAACCTAATGAGCCTTCAACCTGGTAGGGGGGTCCCTGCCTGTAAGCGTATACGCTGTACAAATGTTTGAAACTATCCACCTCGAGATAGATTGTTTACTCGCAGGTGAGCCAACCTTCCTACCGCAGTAACAGCAAAATAGTTGGTTATCCTTACGGACACCCATATTTCCGCTGATATAGGCCTTGAGAGTCGTGCGGACATCCAAGACATGAGCATGTCTTGCAGTGGTCCCCGACGAGGAAGGCTGTGAAAGAGCGGGTAGCTCAATAGGAGCCGTTCACGTGGAATCGTGTGCGACCCTAGGACGGTAATAGTCCGGTAGACGAAAACTGACTGTCCCGGTGATATTTATCGACCCCATGGAAGACAGTTATTTTGGGATCGGCTGACATAACACGAATGTCGCCTACCCGTCTGCCGGACGTTACCACCACAAGGAACGCCGTCTCCCAGCTCAACAGCTGAAGAGAGAGAGACGACAGATCCCGAAAGGAAGGACCGGACAGCCAATCTAGAATGATTGACAAGTCCCAAGGGGGACTGATCCGCCGGACTGGCGGTCGGATCCTGTCCACACCTGCTAAAAAGCGCTGCACTAATGGGTGTGCACCCAGAAGTGCCCCGTCGACAGGGACGTGAAAAGCTGCGATAGCTGTAGAGTACCCTCGGACTGTTGATGCGGCCAGGCCGTCATCTAGTCGCGACTGGAGAAACTCAAGCACGGATACGAGATCTGCAGAAAAAAGATCTGCAATCCCTCTATCGACACACCTGGGCGCATAGCAGGCCTATCTATCGTACTGAACGTTTGTCGAATCCCTCCGCGAAGCCAGTATTGTGTCTGCAACTCGTGCAGGAATACCGCTCTTCTGGAGGCGATTCCTGACAGTGGCCAAGCCACCCATTGAATCCTGAGATTCGGGTGGAGGGCCCCGTTCTGGGATAGGAGGTCCGGTCGTAAAGGTAATATAACAGGAGGCTGAGCCAGAAACCTGAGTATTACTGGAAACCCACTCTGCGCCGACTAAAGAGGTGCCAGGAGCACAATTAGTCGCGCAGGCTGAGTGCCTAGCTGAGACAGGACCTTGGAAATCAGAGGTACTGGGGAGAATGCCAACAGAACTGTCCGTCCAATCTAGCTGAAAGGCGTCCGGTGCCACCGACCTCGGGTCGTGGACTCGGGAGCAGAACGTTGGTGTCTGGTTATTTAACCCAGACGCAAACAGATCCACCTGTAACGACCTGTATAACAGGGAGAAAATCCCGAATATCCCCGGGTCGAGCCTCCACTCGTGAGGAGCGAGGATCCGGCAAGACAGAGCGTCCGCACGGACGTTGTCCACCCCCGGGAGATAAACAGGTAGCACCCTGATATCGTGAGAGTCGCACTATAGTAGGAACTGCCACGTCTTTCGTCGAAGCGACGGAGACGCCGTTCCCCCCTGCTTCCGGATGTAAGTCATCGCCGTTTGGTTGTCCATCTCTAGACGAACCACTTGGCCACAAAGCAGATCCGGGAAGCGTTGGAACACCAACCTGACCGCTCTCAGTTCTAGCACATTGATATGCAGTTTGATCTCCTGCTGGGACCATAGTCCCGAGGCAGTGTGATCATTCAGAACGCCTCCCCAGCCGGAGAGTGACGCGTCTGTTTGAACTGTGAGAGACGGAACGGGAGTGATTCCCGACCTCGGTCCACCACTGGAGGTGTGTAATGAGCCACTACGGAGTCTCGAGCACAGTCTCGAGATCTTCCGAGTTCGCCCAAAGTCGACGGAGTGCTTGTTGAATGGGACTCATTCTCAAGCGCGCCCGCCAGACCAAATCCACTGTCGCCGCCATGTTGTCCAGTAACTGGAGCCATGTACGAGCAGTGTGACTTGCGCTTAAGGGACTTGATATCTTGTGACAGAGATACACGTCCTCTCACCGTGTTGAAATTAGCCACTAGGAAGACTAGATTCTGAGTGGGGCTCAGATCTGACTTCTTGAGATTGACCATCCACCCTAGAGTGATCAGAATATCTATCACTTGTTGTGTAGCTATCTGACTCAGGGATTGCAATAGAGCTCTTAGTAACCTAGTCGTCGAGGTACGGATGGCAGAACCGACCTTTTGACCTGGCCACTTGGGCGGGAATCAACATCAGCTTGGTGAACACCCTCGGGGCCGTGGAGATCCCGAATGGTAGAACCCTGAACTGATAACACCTCCCGTCGAAAGAAAACCTCAGGTATTTCTTGAACTCTGGATGTATTGGTATGTGGAGATAGGCGTATTTTAAGTCTATTGACGTTAGCCATTCTCCTGTCTCGACAGTTGAGATCACTGTTTGGTGACTAGGAAACAAGTCGAGTAGAAGCCCTCGCTTTCCTGTCCCTCGGGACCCGGTTCGATCGCAGCTTTCATAAGAAGTGCGTCGACCTCGGCACGGAGGAATTCCGCCTTCTCTCGGGTAGCAGGCACCGGTGTGTGCTTTATCCCGGAAAAGTGGAGGAGCGGATGAGTTTTCCCGATAACTTGCGACTATGGGTTCACCCGGGGCTCTTCGGGCGCTAATGGGAACCCATCGTTCCCAGCCCCGCGAAAAAGCTGTTGGCCTCGACCAGCTGCCTTGCCCCGGCCCGTGCCTCTCTTGCTCCTCACGGCGCCCTTATACCTGAAGGAAGCGGCGGCTTCCAAGCAGGTGTGGACGTCTGACCCGTGCGTTAGCGTAGGAGGGGACAATTGGAGAGGCCCGCTTACGCGGTTTTAACGCTTGGTACCTCCAACAAGGCCTTATGAGTCTTTGATGGAAGTATACAATTGAGCAGCCTCTCGGACCGCCTGCTGAGCCCCAGGGAAGAGGGTGGCACCCTCTTATACGGCAAAGCAAGTAGGTCTTGGCGTGTGTAAGTCGAGTATTTAGATACCGACATCCACCGCCTGCGCATGCACATAACAGCGCACATCATCTGCGATGCACAGCTACGAATAGCGTCTCGCGCAAGATAATGTTAGTTGCGCGGCCAACTCCGAAGAGTCGGCCGGCCCCTCTCCCGCTAACTCCCTCTGTACAGCCGACAGATACGCGGAGTGTACGGACACACGGAGCTGTTGGCATGCATTATGATATTGCTCCTCGAAGCATATGTAAGCAGCCTTCAACTCCGCACCGCACACGGGAAAGGGGGGGCAACCGCCGGCCCTGCTTGACCTTAGTCAAGTTGGGTGTCTCCGACTCTGGCATGGGCGCAGCAACCTGAGGCAGTACATGGACAATCCTGTCCCGCACGTGTCTCTGCACCCGGCCCGAGGCCGAGTCCCGGTGCCGAGGTGCCGGAGGTTCAAGGGAACCCACCTGGCACTGGGCTAGGTATCCACTAGTGAAAGCCTTGGCCTCGGAAGAGGCGTCTGGCTCCGCTAGGGTAAATTGTGCGTCGGTAGTGCACGGGCCGGTGCCCGCCACCACTACGCTGGGGAGCGACCTCGAGCCGGAGCCGAAGCTCGGTCTCGGATCGTCCCCGAGACAAAGGGAACCAACCTGGCTCCGGGCTAGGTATCCACTAGTGGACGCCTTGGCCTCGGAAGAGGCGTCTGGCTCCGCTAGGGAAAATTGTGCGTCGGTAGTGCACGGGCCGGTGCCCGCCACCACTACGCTGGGGAGCGACCTCGAGCCGGAGCCGAAGCTCGGTCTCGGATCGTCCCCGAGACAAAGGGAACCAACCTGGCTCCGGGCTAGGTATCCACTAGTGGACGCCTCGGCCTCGGAAGAGGCGTCTGGCTCCGCTAGGGAAAATTGTGCGTCGGTAGTGCACGGGCCGGTGCCCGCCACCACTACGCTGGGGAGCGACCTCGAGCCGGAGCCGAAGCTCGGTCTCGGATCGTCCCCGAGACCAAGGGAACCCCCCTGGCTCCGGGCTACGAATCCACTAGTGAAAGCCTCGGCCTCGGAAGAGGCGTCTGGCTCCGCTAGGGAAAAATTGTGCGTCGGTAGTGCACGGGCCGGCGCCCGCCACCCCTCCGCTGGGGAGCGACCTCGAGCCAGCGCCGAAGCCCGGTCTGAGATCGTCCCCGAGACCAAGTTGCCTGCCTCGGCCGACGCCGGGCATATCACAAGGTCTCGAAGCCGCGTCCGGCGCCGACAACGGGGAAGGCTCGGTCCGCATCTCCTCTCGGAGCTGAGACTTTACCTCCTCCATCATCGACGCCATCTGCGACTTAAGTAACGCAGAAAAGTCTGCCAAAGACAGTGCAGGAGAGGGTGCAGTGCTTACTACGGGGACCCTCGAGCCTTCTCCCCCGGCCCCCGGAGAGGGAGCGGGGGAGACAATCTCGGCAGCTTTTTTACCCTTTTTAGATGGGGAGGGGGGGATGTCTTAGTAGATCTGATATCTACCCCCGCCTTTAATAGACCTCTTTAAAGTGGAACAAGTCAACTTGTCTCTTTTGGGGGCCCCGGGGGGTAAAGGCAATGTCCTCCGCCAGACATATTCGGCAGCGTTCGTGCCTGTCTTAGAACAACCCGTACACAGTTTGAAGGTCTTGTAAACAAGACCGTAATTTCTGAGGTGGGCGGGAAGGGTATCAACGTGTATCAGTGCGATATAAAGATCGGAAAGAAACGTGCATAAATTGTGAAACTAGAAGCAAAGGCGTAATGTAGAATGCGATTTGTAACGCGATACTAATAGCCAATGTGTAGTATAATTATAACACCAAAGGGGCGTGTTACGCGCTAAGGTGTAAAAACCCGTAAAAAAGGTAAGTGTAGTTTATGAATTAACACACCACCTTGGGTTTTGTAAAGGAAAAAATTGTAGACCAATGCTGTATGATATAACAAAACCCCAAGCCGTTTCTTAATGGCCTTGGTGTTACATGTATCAGCCCGTGGAACTACAATATGGACGCCATTACGGCCATTTGAATTCAAAGGTACCGTGCACGTGGCGTATTATTACAACTCTATAACTTCACAATGCGAGGTATTACGCCTTTGCAAAGAAAGAAATGTACCATACATACAGTTTGGTCAGCCATGGTTCTTGTCGAACGATAGATTTCTCTTATTTTTGTCTTGTGTGAAAAATCAACACGTCTGTCTCTTACAGATGACATAAGGAAAGTGATTTGGGTGAGAGTTGCTCCCCCTGGCGTGAGGCGCCGTTGGGGGTGAGGCCCCGTAAGGGTGGTCGTATATCATACAAAAACGAAGTTTTTTGTGTGGTAACATTTTTTATTAAGGAAAATGGTTACAACTATGTCATATAGATTTTCTTGAGCAAGGAAAATGCAATAAGTGCCCCAAGGAGGATTTAATCAGAAAGAGAATACACTTTGGTCCTGCCCGACACTGAAACACACAGCGGCCATGTCACACATCGTCTAACAAACAGGGAAACTACACTTTGGTCCAGCTCCAACACTGAAACACACAGCGGCCATGTCACACATGGTCTAACAAACAGGGAAACTACACTTTGGTCCTGCCCCACCCTGAAACACACAGCGGCCATGTCACACATGGTCTAACAAACAGGGAAACTACACTTTGGTCCTGCTCCGACACTGAAACACACAGCGGCCATGTCACACATGGTCTAACAAACAGGGAAACTACACTTTGGTCCTGCCCGACACTGAAACACACAGCGGCCATGTCACACATGGTCTAACAAACAGGGAAACTACACTTTGGTCCTGCCCGACACTGAAACACACAGCGGCCATGTCACACATGGTCTAACAAACAGGTAAAACTACACTTTGGTCCTGCCCCGACACTGAAACACACAGCAGCCATGTCACACATGGTCTAACAAACAGGGAAACTACACTTTGGTCCTGCCCCGACACTGAAACACACAGCAGCCATGTCACACATCGTCTAACAAACAGGGAAACTACACTTTGGTCCTGCCCCACCCTGAAACACACAGCGGCCATTTCACACATGGTCTAACAAACAGGTAAAACTACACTTTGGTCCTGCCCCACCCTGAAACACACAGCGGCCATTTCACACATGGTCTAACAAACAGGGAAACTACACTTTGGTCTTGCCCGACACTGAAACACAGATTACATGTGGGGTCTTCTAAGGCAAGAGACTTTATCAGAAATAACCTTTGTTCACCCAGCTTGAGTGGATACCACTGTAAACCTTCTAGCGTTTCATAAGGCAGCATGGTTTGAACATTCCTAAGGCAGCTGAGAATGAAATTTGAGTGCACACTGACCCATTGATGAGGGTAACAATAATGTTTGTTTGTTGTTTAATGCCACACTTAACAATATTACAGATATTGGACGGTCTGTAAGTAATTGGGTCTGGACCAGACAATCCAGTGATTAACATCGTGAGTATTGATCCACGCAACTGGGATACGATGACATGCATCAACAAGTCAGCGGGTCTGACCTCCCGGTCCTGTTAGTCGCGTCTTACAAGCATAGTTGCCTTTGACAGCAAGCGTGGGAGGCTGAAGATCTATTCTAACAGGATCTTCAAACGTGAATAATAATGTAGCACCATGAGCAATTACTTTGTGAATAGAATGGCACATTATAAATGGACAAATATTATCACATATACATTCCTACTCACGGAGTCTTCCTGCTCGTCATCATCAAACAGACCCTTGCTGCTGGTGAACAATCCACCAGACTTCCCGAACGGTGTGTTCTCATCCTCCTCACCACCAGCAGGGGCACTGAACAGATCTGAAATACATCACCCAGAATAAACACTTGTTCATTTCTTGCAGTTTATTCTTCTATACTGCAAAGAAACAGTTGCAATATTCAAGCTCTGGCCGAAGTATTCCAATGATCACCGTAGCACTAACTCATGTCAGCCTGGAGTGATGTCGTATATATATTGTATATTTGTTGTATAACGCTGCACTCAGCAATATGCCAGCTATATGATGACAGTCTGTACATAATCGAGTCTGGACCAGACAATCCAGTGACTGACATCATAAGCATCAATTCACGCAATTGGGATAGGATGACATGCATCAACAAAGTCATCGAGCCTGACCACCCGCTGCCTCTTACAACAAGCATAGTCGCCTTTTACGGCAAGCATGGGTTGCTAAAGACCTATTCTACCCCGGATCTTCACAGGTCTGGTGGGATGTCCTCAGCGAGATGCTATGGAGCATCCTGTCTCCTAATGACCACAGGGTGTGATTGTGAAAAACAGCTGATGATCTTCACTCAAAAGTGTCCAGTTTTTAATGACCTTTCTCTTTCTCTGAATCTCAACTCACCGACCCCACCCATTCCTGTCTTAGGGCTGACAAACACTCCCAGCTAACATCCTACTCCAGCCCTCAATAGACGGTGAAAACAACCAAGCTCACAAAAAAGTATCTTTACTGTAACATTCATACATCTGAAAGGGGCTGTAAGGGATAACTAGCAGTGTGTCCTACTGACATTATTTCACATGTTGGACTGCACAAACCTTCATCATCAGCCTTGACTTGCTTCGCTTTTGTCTTGTGTTTCTTTTCTTTCTTACCAGTCTTTTTCCTAGCTGCAATGAAAACATGTCTGCAGCAGGAACCTAAAGGATAGAGACTCGCTGTGTAGCACTGAGACAGACATTTGACCTAAAGGATAGAGACATCGCTGTGTGTCACTGGGACAGACATTTGGCCTTCCCACTTCATTTTGTTTTCTTGGTGTACAGATCAACCAACCTTAGACATTGAAAATTCAGAAAAGAAAAGAAATCATTATGATAAAGTATTTTTAACACTGCCAACGGTAAAGACCACTTTGACATTACAAATGAAAATGAATGCCGCTGTCAGATTTTACTATATATAAAGACCCAAACCAGGACTATATTTATTTTTATCACCTACAGATCCAAATCAAACTTTTAAACACCACATTTTTTAACGACCAAATCTTTCACGGTCAAAATCTGTACCCCCCCAAAAAACAGTCTGGCCTTACTGCACTGTGTACACTAGGCGCAGCAGGTAACCTGACACACATGGTTACCCTGGTACCATTGTTACATAGGTACTCATAAACACACCAGTCTGTTTGGGTTGTTCTTCAACCTCCCGCTCTGCATCATCATCGTCGTCGGCAGCAGCAGCAGGAGAGGGTTTGGGAACAGCAGCTCCTATCCTGGCAGCCAACTCAGAAGCAAAGTCCCGCCCTCCACCCCCCTGGAAAATTCATAACACATTCTTACACATCCTGCCTCATCCAGCAATAGACAGCATGACTGAGCAATACTCATAATATTGGATGATGAACTGCCATGTGGCAAAGTGATAAAGTTTAATCTGGCCTTAATAAATCAATATTTGGCAAATGAATCATCTCAAGCAATTGGAGTGTGACACAACCACTGACCTCATCAAGACACACCAATTTGGTTTTCCATCAAATGTTATCTGTTTTTAAAGGAAACATGTTTTTAGGTTGAATTTGAGTCAAATAGACAAATGTATCTGTCTACATATCATGTGAGTGACCTTAATACTGACCATATTCCATGGCTATTACCGTATTCGACGTAATCAGCGCCCATGGTGCTCTCAAAATTAGAAATAGGGGGCTCTTATTAGAGTATAAATTTGGTGAGAAAAAAACAACAGAGTTCAAAGATTGTAAATTTCATGGTATTTGCTGACAGCCTGAAATGATACAAAAGAAAGTCTGTGCATATTATACATGACAGATATATTTTCCAGAATTTAATTGCCCATAATTAAAGGTGCATATAACACACAAGTGCGTAGTATACACGAATAAATAAGTCTTGTGTACATTGATAAACTTGGAAGGGGTGCTTATTGGGATTGTTCCCTAGCCAATATATTAGCAAATATCGCCCTGGGCGCTTATTTGAGCAGGATGCTTATTACGTCGAATACGGTAATCTTGACTTGTTATTCATGAAGGACTATTTCTGTTCATCCTGCAGAGTTCATCCCTGAGATGCTTGATACTCACAGCAGGAGCACCAGGCTTCTCTGTGTCTTCCTCGTCACCCTTCTCCTCCTCCGAGCTGGTTGCCTCCTCACTCCCGTCGCCATCGTCATCGCTGTCATCATCGACATGCTTCTTGTGTTTGGTGCTGAACATGTCTTCATCACTCTCCTCATCATCATCCTCACTCTGACGACAATACACAACACCTGGTATAGACCTCTAGCGAACATGAAAAGCCTGATATACACTCCAATGAAAACTGAAACACTTGAACTATACTCATCTCACACATATCTGTTCCTAGCAAATATGCAACACCTTTTTTCGTCACTATCAAACATATAACACCCAATATATACTCTTATCAAATATGGACCAATTGGTAAATATTCTGATCAAACATGAAACACTTGATATATACTTCTATCAAAAGTGAAACAGTGATTATATACTTTTATTAAACACATGAAGTGAACTTATACAAAATAGGAAACACCTTATAGGTACTCCTATAAGATATGGAATACCTGATATAGAACACTTGATATACAATATATATATATTTTCATATATAATTCATGTAATCATGAAACTGACCACTTGCAAGAAACTTGTTTAAAACATGAAATACTAGTACTCTACTTTGCTCACATGAAACATGAAACACAAGACAAATACCAAAATCAACCATGAAACAGCGTACATCGAGTTCTATCACACATGAAAGAATTGTCAAGTTTTTATATAAAATATAAAACACTCAATAATATGAATCATCTGATATATTCCAATCAAACGTGAAACACATTTAAAATAGCTACCAAACATAGTACACAAAATAAATATTACTCAAACCTAATAAACCTAAATCAAACAAGAAAAACTTGAAACATCATGCAATTGTTCCTGTCCAACATTATGAACATGAAACACTTAAAGTATGATCTTATCGTACTCGAAACACAATCTGTTGACATGTACACCACATAGGACATTCAATCATTCTACACCTAGTTGATCTTCCAAAGAAGAGGAGCATTCCCTAGAAGCAATGTTAGATGTTTGGATGAACTCATTCAAGCCACAGCCATTGTTGAGTTGGGTTCTGTGAGCGAACAGATCAACGCACCCACACCTGACATGGCATGCACTGACATCCCATCATCCACTGTAGACCAGGCCCATATGCAGCTATAGCAGGAAGTTGACAGCATGTTTCAGATACCATCATCTTACATCATCAACAAAGCAGTTCATGCACAACATTGAGAACATGCTGCAATAATATCTAAAATGAAACCCAATTAGTCCTAACCAAGTCGGCCCTGAAACTCCATTAGTCTGAACCAAGTCGGCCCTGAAACCCCATTAGTCTGAAACACATCAACTCAAAAACCCAATAAGTCCAAACAAAGTCAGCCCTGAAACCCCATTAGTCCAAACCTAGTCAGCCCTGAAACCCCATTAGTCCAAACCTAGTCAGCCCTGAAACCCCATTAGTCTGAACCAAGTCGGCCCTGAAACCCCATTAGTCTGAACCAAGTCAGCCCCGAAACCCAATTAGTCAGAACCATAATGGCCCTGAAACCTCATTAGTCAGAACCAAGTCGACCATGAAACCTCATAAGACCGAACCAAGACGGCCCTGAAATCCCATTAGTCCAAACCTAGTCGGCCCTGAAACTCCATTTGTCCGAGCCACATCAGCCTTGAAACCCTATAAGTTTTTTAAAAAAACCAGTCCCCCTTATTAACACTAATAATCCAAACTCTAACCCAGAAGTGTTGCATTTGGATTGGCATGCAAACGCTGCAAAGTGCAAAAATATCCTAGAAACCTAGAACCTCACTATTTGCCTAATCAAAGAAACACCTGCTGTCAACTGAGTGATCAATTATCAGAACTTCAATGAAGTAAGTCATTTCTAAAAGCTGCATCCAAGTTATTTAAAATATGCATTTCATCTAATTTTTCTCTTACTTTGGTTAAGATCTCCATTGGTCTGATTCCATGAATTAAATAACTGAAAGACTAAAGCTCCCTATTATCATAGAGTGTAAGTTAGGAAACCATATGACTGCATTATCATTTTATTAACATCCATATTTATATTCTATATAGCAAGGCCACAATCCATGAGTGGCTAGTCTATGGACAAAAGTACCCTCCGGATTAATAAGGTGTCACTGTATTCAGACGTGTGTAGAGTATCAGGGGAAGACACTATTCTAGCCATGCTAACTAACTCTAGTTGTGTTAATCAAAGAGACGAGAAATGAAAGACAACAAAGGAACAAAATCTACCATCAACATCTGAAATTATTGAAAAAAAAATGGTTCTTAAAATTGTCCCATAACTAGTTAAGAAAATTACAAAGACAAGTTCTACCTCTGTCTCATCAGAGTCGTCCGATACACGGGTGGCACGACGGGCCTTGCTTCTCTTCCTCTCCTCAACCTCAGAGTCGGACTACACAAGTAAAACATGCACAAACTGAGATACAACAGCAGGTCAGGCCATCAACAGGGAGGGAGCTCGCTTAGTGTGGCCGTTTTACAAACCTTGACAAGACTCAGTGTAGTGGTAGGCAACTTGGGAAATATGACTTCAATATTTCCATATTGAAAGAAATTTTGATCGCATATTATTTAATTAACTTAATTTTTAGGTGCTATTTGTTGGTGGATTGTTCCCTGGCATTCTGGTTTTCCACAAAGCAATCTCAGTGCTATGACTAACCCCCTCCCAAAATACTGCATACAATAACAGTAACAGTCCACATCTCTAAGACTGACCTTTATCACTGATTGACAATAATCACAGCCTAATGTCTGTCCTAGCTCCCAAACCATAGCATTCATTTCTGATAATCACAGCCTAATATCTGTCCTAGCTCCCAAACCATAGCATTCATTTTTGATAATCACAGCCTAATGTCTGTCCTAGATCCCAAACCATAGCATTCATTTCTAAAAATCACAGACCAATGTCTGTCCTAGCTCCCAAACCATAGCATTCATTTCGAATAATCACAGACCAATGTCTGTTCTAGCTCCCAAACCATAACATTCATTTCGGATAATCACAGCCCGATGACTGTCCTAGCTCCCAAATCATAGCATAGGCTTACGACTGTCCTAGCTATAGTATAGACTTATACTGCTCTTATAGCTGTTCTATAGCAGTTTTCATTCCCATACAACAGCACAGTCACTGCACTAAGTTGCTTGTGGCACACAGGCCAACCATCTGCCATGAAGTGGTAAGTAGACACTAAATCAAGAGCATTTAGTTCCATGTTACAGTGGTTAAATCTCCTAGATGATGCTAAAGGTCATGAGTACAGTGATATGTCCCATAATACTGTATTAATTATTAATACTGTAACAAATAACACATAGACATCCATGCAACTATGTACACTGATTACAGACAGCACGTTTGGAGTTAAGGAGTAGAACATTAGTGATAAAACATCCGATTACCATTATATATATAGACCAAATGTTACATTTTCACATTCTCCTTTGAAGCAACATGCAAATATTATCATTATAAGTCATAGCTACATCCAACAAATCAGCTCCAGACGACATTAACACAGCTTCATGCACCTTGCAATGATATGCCTTAAAATAAGCATAAGCTGGTTTTAAACATTTCATCTGAATGATTATACCCTAACCATTTTAAATATCCAGTGGAATCTGTGAAAATCAGTCTCTGACTAATCCTCATATCAAGAAATGCCAGTTCAAATTTATAGTTCTGAATTATATAGTTCAGACAATCTAACCCCTCTGGACCACACATTTTGGATTCTTTAAATTTTGTGACAAACGACCAATTTATCATGAAACTGACCTTACCCTAATCCGGATTTAGTTTTCACACATCTCAGTCATAGTCAGCTGTTCTCAGCAATAATCTGCTAAATATTACATTATTGGGGGCTGATGATTTGTAAAGATCCAGGCAACAATGTAATATTTTTCAGAAATAATGTGTTGCACATGTGTCTTCAATTGCGCATGTTCTAAACAAATCATGGCATGACATAAAAACAAGGTAGACACAATTTTATGGATAACAACTTCTTTAATACTGTAAAAAGTGACGTTTCGGTATAGATCCTTATACCATTGTCAAGCAAGACAGTCTTGAAACACCGCTTTTTACAGTATTAAAGAAGTTGTTATCCATAACATTGTGTCTACCTTGTCATCCGTCAACTTCTAAGTAATGCCTATCAAACAATTTATGACATGACATTTATGAGATGCAACATAATCTCACAAATTTTAAAACAGAGTAAACTTTCAGCCCCACATGTCCGGTTGACCCAGATTCCACTGTATAGACATTATCATGATTACGTCATGTCTACCTAGATGCTACAAGGGTCATATCTACCTACTCACTATGACGTTATACTCTAGCTACATGAGATAAGCTTGGTGCATCTCACCTCTGTCTCGGACCTCTCAGCCTCACTCTCGCTGATGCTGCCATGATCTGTCTCCTCTCCTCCTGCAGTTGCCAGATAAAAATACATGGAGGCGAAAAACAAAAACATGTTTAATCCAAAGATACCTTTTTGTAAATGACATCTTTTTTGTTGAATATTTTGAATCATCAAGTGTGTTTGTTGTTCAATGCTGTATGCAGCAATATTCAAGCTATATGAAGCCAGCCTGTATGTAACCGGGTCCAGACAATCAAGTGATTGAGATTCTGAGCAACAATCCACACTGTCAAGGTAGAGGTGAGGTGAAATTGGGTTTAACGTCGCGTCCAAGATTATTGCACTTATATAGCGACGTGCATGCACGTGTATGTGTGTGTGTGGCTGCTTGTACTAGTCCGGACTGATGCCGATTTATAGTGCTAGCTCACTGAGATACCATGCCGCAGTTTAACATGAATACCCCACTCAGACACAGTATACTGACTCCGAGCCGACCAGTCCTTGTTTTAGCCCCTTAATGCCGAGCGCCAGACAGGGTAACAACAAGTACAATCTTTTAACGTCTTTTTGTATGACGCGGCCCGGGATCGAACCCTGGACCTTCCGCTCTCCGGGCGGACGCTCTACCACAAGACCACGGAGGCGGTCCTGTCAAGGTAGAATGACACGCCATCAACCAAGTCACCAGTCTGATCCATTAAGTGGCCTCTTACAACCAGCATAGGTTGTTATGATGCAATTCTAAGCCTGAATCTCCACGGGGGCAAATCATCTTCTTCAAGAGTTATTTCAGCTTACTAATATTGTTTGTAGGGCTGGGACGAGTCCAAATTTACTACCCGGGTAGCCACCCCCCTATTACCCAAGCCTACCTGGGTACCCGCTGTAGGTCTCAAGAGATAGGTACAAAATGTCCGATTGGGAAACTTTGACCGTACTCCTGTCACAATAAATTTAGATACACGTATAAACAGATCTGGTCACGCATACACTGAAGTTGACTGAAGTTTTATCATTATGCAAACATATAAAGTTAGGAGGAATGTGTGCATATTCAGAAAGAAATGTGAACATTTGTCACTTATAGTGTAACCATAGAGTTCTAGATAATTTTTGCCATTAAACAATCTATCACATAACTAACTACGGGTCCAGGTAGTCCTGTGGGTACCCAGGTCCTACTCAGTACCCACCCAACCTGAGTACCCGAGTTACCCGTCCCAGCCCTAATAGTTTGTGTTCCATACCTTATTGGGCTGGACACATCTGTTGTAATGAGGTGAGGTGAAATGAAACGGGCTTGAATGTCGCGTCCAAGATTATTGTTTGTTTGTTGTTTAATGCCATACTCAGCAATATTCAAGCTATATGACAGCAGTCCGTAGATAATCGAGTCAGGACCAGAAAATCCAGTGATTGATTATATGAGCATTGATCCACGAAATTGGGATACGATGACATGTATCAATCAAGTCAGCGAGCCTGAACACCCGATCCCGTTAGTCGCCTCTTACGACAAGCAGAGTCACCTCTTACGGCAAGAAAGGGTTGCTGGAGACCCCGGATCTTCATGGGTTGCACGTACGTGTATGTGTGTGTCCGGACTAATATAGTCGTTTTTCATAGCCGTTTTATAGTGCTAGCCAACTGAGATACCATTCCGCAGTTTAACAAGAATACCCCACTCAGACACAGTGTACCGACTCTGAGCCGAACAGTCCTTGTTTTAGCCCCTTAATGCCGGGTGCCAGACAGGGCAACAACAAGTACGATCTATTAACATATTTTGGTATGACGCGGGCTGGGATCGAACCCCTGCCCTTCCGCTCTCTGGGAGGACGCTCTACAACAGATGTGGTCTCTGTTGTCATGACCTCTATGTGTAGCACTCACCTGAGACATCCTCCACAAGGCCGACATTATCATCCTCCAAGAATCCCGGACTGCCGATCAACAAAGGCAAGTAGCGGGTCACGTATGGATCCTGTGTGGGATTTTCACAAATGATTATGGAAACATTCACTCACTGTTTTACCCATCTTCCCGAGGCAAGAGAGTTAACAGACTTTAAAAGTCAAGTTTCCACCCTTGCCGAATTAGGCTGGAATTCCTTGGCTCGATCGTAGCACCACCAGTGGCTATTACGAGTTCTGTCCCTTCTATGCCTCTCCTATGGACCAATCAGATTCAACCTCTCGTATCACATGCACTTGCTTCAAACAAAATGGCGACGCCCAGTCAAGAAGATCTGGTCGATAATCAAGATCTATATTGTGATAATACGGGTCTTACATCGCGAGTGCATCAAACTACGTGAGCACCTTGATTAAAAATACGAAAAGATTTGGAAAATATCTGTTGACATGTTTTCAGTGCACATGCTTTGCAAATCCTGCAATCGACTGAAATCTGCATGACAGTTTACGAACTGGATTTCGATTTCATTGTGCAAATTTGATTGGACTATATATAGACTCGTTAGTCCAGTTAAAACGTAACTCCATAATACCAGCCTAGGTCGGCAAGGGTGGAAACTGGAATTTTACAGTCAGTTAACTCTCTTGCCTCAGGAAGATGTGTTTTACCAAAAGGAATAAAACTTTCCCCCTTCACAAACATCAGTTAACAATAGTCATGGAATATGATTTGTTTTATTTGTTGTTTAACGCCTCACTCAGCAATATTCCAGGTATATGACAGCCGTCTGTAAATAATCGACCAAACAATCCAGTGATTGACATCATAAACTTCGATCCACGCAATTAGGATATGATGACACGCATCAACCAAGTCAGTGAGCCTGACCACCCGATCCCGTTAGTTGCCTCTTACGACAAGCATAGTCAGTCTCCTTTTACAGCAAGCATGGGTTCATAAATAATGAATGCCATGGAAGATAAAACAAGGCTAATTTAAAGAAACGAATACATCCTATCTTCCCAACACATCAGTTCACCTGGTGTCCTGATTGCGTCCACCTGTCTCACCTTGGCCTCCAGGATGGGGTCCGCACGGTATCCCCCCTCCTCATCCTCCGAGTCAGAGTCACCAATGTTGGTGTCCAGTCTCTCAAATGCCTCATCTATGACATTTGTGCCATATCGAAGAGCCTCAGTGACTTTGGGTATCAGCGCTGCTTCACGCTGTTCTCTGGTCTTCTCCTTGAATAAAATGCACATTAATACATATATGTGGTACACACAACACATACAGTACATAATGTGTATCAACACAAAAACAAAACACGAATCAGGAGGGGTAAGAAGTGGGGACAAAGTTCTAAGCTCACTTTAGGTGTGAACTTTACATTTCTATATTTTAAATATGTTGCTTAAGGCAACAAGTCTTATTAAGTCCTGTAATTGAGAGAAACTTTTGACACATGTTGTCACATTGACAATTCATATGTAATGCAGAAATGTGCATAGAGTGCATATAATATTCATTGTAACTGCAGCGTATCTATGACTTTGCAAAGCGGATATTTGTTTGGAAAAGTATCTTCACTTTTTTACCACAGACTGAAATTACGCCTAAATTCAGTCTGTTATGCACAGCTGGAAATGTAGTCTTGTTTGCATCTTATTTGTTTTCCCCTCAAACATGTTAACTACAATAACCAGAACAGCTCTGAGCATATGCCTTGACATCAATCTGGCCTAGCAGTGATATCGAACTGCAGACATGTGCACTGTTTTCAGTGGCTGAGTGAATCTATCCTCTTGACAATGAATAAGTCTGGGAAAGTCAGTGGTCTATGAAAAGTTTATGATCAGGGTACGTAGTTGTAGCCCTATTACAAGTAACTGTGTCGTCTGGGAAACTGATACAACTATGTCTATGAGGGTAGACACTGAGATTGGCTCGGCACGGCACGTGCCAGAAAACATTGTCGCAAATATCCATGGCTAAATCTGCCAAATTCAGACTGTGGACAGCTATGTGATATTTGTTTACGAGCTATAGCCTCCAAACACTTCACAAGCAGCAAAGGTATAGCTTACATTCAGAATTCTGCATTAGCTCGACACCAAGTTGGAAAAACTCACATTGACAGTACTCATTAGTTGCAGCTTACTTCACAACTTGAGAGATTGAATCAGATTACTCTACTACAGTACGCTAGGCCATTTGGTGGTATGTGGTCCTCTGCACAGCGTACGTCTCAAATCAGGCAAAGTTAAGCAACGTCGGTCGCGGAGAGTCCTTGGATGGGTGACTGCATTTCAGCAGCTTGGCTCCTGAGAGTTTCTAGGGCTTCAGTCCTGCCCTACACTGAAGCACATGTAACACATGTAGCGTCTCCTTGGGCAAGTGACTTTGTTCGAAATGTGCTTCTGTTCACCCAGCAGTGAATGGGTACCCGGTAGGATGAGATGGCAATGTGTTTGTTAACCTTCTAGTGCCTAACAGGCAGCTTGGGCTCTTTAGTGCACACTAGTCCAGCAACCGGGGCAATAATAGCGCTTGGAGCATGCCCCTGAGTGGTGTGGAAATATGCGCAATATAAATAGCCTATTATTATCATATTTCAGTACTTATCAGTAAGCCATCTTGGGTGCATGTTACGTCTGCGACTGCGTTCAGGACCCTCATATTTCCTGGACCCTTGAAATAAATTTTGGGATGCCCTGGACCCCAATCTTTCAAGTCAGGGTAAAACTCTGACAATCATAGCTCAGCTCCAAACTACACACAATTATGAGTATCGGAACATTCTACATGCAAGACATTCCTAATCTTGCAGTCTAATTACACACAGTATTACCATGATTACAGCATGTTGTTCTGTCCAGTGGCACTTATTTATCTCATTCCTCTCACCACCATCTTCACCCCCCACCATCTTCAAGGTCAAACTAGACCGTAACTCCCAGATTGCCAACTGACCTCTTGGTCTGGCTTCCTTTCCTCTTCCTGGTTCGCATGACTAACATCCTCGTCATACACTCTCTGCAGCAGATGGAAATTCAGAATAAATACACAAGTCTGTCATCATAGCCATAGGCATTTAGAAGTAGGAAGAACATGAAGACATTAATTATTTTCAAGAATAATTTCTTTATTGTTTATAATCCTGATAATGATATACATCTCAGGGCTGCTTCTTGCCCTTTGATTACGTGAAGCAAGAATTAGCCATGAAACATCCTTACAAGCAGAAAAGATGATCTTCATCAAACGTTTTATGTCTTTATATAAATACAGTAGGCATAAATACACAGTATATATACACAGATAGTACACATACATATAATACATGGAAAGCATACATACACACACAAACAGCGCGATTTGAGTTAAACACTGCTATGAAAAACTATTTCAGCTATTTCTCAGCCTATCACTATCAGCCAAATGGGCTAGGAAACATAATTGGTGAACATGTATCACCTAAGTGAAACCCGTGAATAACCAAGGGTCATAATCAGGATTTCAAACCATACAGTAGATCCTTGTAGACTAAGGGACACAACTCTGCATAGTGAATTGTAACACCTTATTTGAGAATGAGTGATTTGTTTGTTTGTTTGTTGTTTAAAGCTGCACTCAGCGAAATTCCAGCTATATAACAGCGGTCTGTAATTAATCAAGTCAATCCAGTGATTGACATCATGAGCATCGCTCCATGCAACTGGGATACGATGACATGCATCAACCAAGTCAGAGAGCCTGACCACCTGATCCCATTAGTCGCCTCTTACGACAAGCACAGTTGCCTTTTACCGCAAGCATGGGTTGCTGAAGAACTATTCTCTACCCGGATCATCACGGGTTGAGAATGACTGATCCTGGGTCGTATCAGCCATTTGTATGTCAGCATACATACCAAGGATGCAAGGAGCAACACTTCAGATAAGTCTAACAATAACACATTATTTAATAAAGAACAATATTCCTTTGTTTTTCCAACACTTTTGATTACAAACAAACTTACATTTTCCACAAACTGAGTATTTGCCAGCATGATGAAGTCATTGAAGACATTGTTGACTCGAACCCCAGTCAACTGTGGAAAACAAGTGTTTCAGTTTCTTGTCATCAAATATGATCATGAAATGATTCATATCTGGTCCATGTTTTATATTCTTGAGATGGAAATGAATAATGATACAAATAAAGTTGGACTGACGGTGGCACCATGTTTTCAATATGCATTTCATCCTGAACATCGCAAAACAGATACTTTGTCCACAAATACTTCAGATAAACAAATAAACAAAGACTTTGATTGTTAAATGCAGAACTAAAGACAATAGCTCAGTTCACATTCCAAGTAACAGTACACAGTAGATTGATGTGGAAATAATTTATAGATAACATCAGCAGTGATCAGTAGTCCAGTTATAGATTCCATTTTTACAATGAATTTGGGACTATGTATGTTTGGTTCCAAACACAGTCAAGCTCAGTTACATCTGCAGGTTATGAAAACTACACCGTAAAAACAGTATAGTTTATCTACTTGGAAACCTTGGCAACACCAGCCATGATATCCTTACTCGGCATGTTCCTTACTCGACAAAGGTCCTTATTACTGAATATGTTTGAGTGAGTGAGTGAGTTTGGTTTTACGCCGCTTTTAGCAATATTCCAGCAATATCACGGCGGGGGACACCAGAAATGGGCTTCACACATTGTACCCATGTCGGGAATCAAACCCGGGTCTTCGGCGTGACGAACGAATGCTTTAACCACTAGGCTACCCCACCGCCCCTGAATATGTTTGATATTATCACACTTCTGATGAACCTGTGATGGAGTACCTACCTTGGCCTCATGTACAAGGCCATCCACTTCCTTCCCGATCTCATGTGTCCGGGATATCACCCTCTGAGAGAACTCCTGCAGGTACTGAAGCAGCTACAACATGGGACAGGAATTGGTAATCCTCTGTCAGCATTGTTAGAATAAACATGGAAACACAGCAACAACATATAATACTCACTCAATGGACCAGATCACACTATGTTGGCTCCTTGCATATGAAGCTGACGTTCATTCTGTATCTTCTCAACATTCTCAAATTACTCTTTTAACATTTTAAAAGTATTTTCTAATTAATCTTGATCATGAAGCTCTTAGATAAGTTAACATGGTTGAAATGGTGAAAATGGATTATTCTACTTGTAACCAAGTACAAGAATGACAACATTGGTGATATAACTGAAGTGCAAATCACAGGAAAGCTCTTAGCATGGCCATCATCATTCAACTCTTACTCCTGCATCCCCAGCCAGTGACCAGTTGTTGGCCTCCTTCCTGATCTCTCCCACAGTCCAAGGCCGCTCCCATGACTGGACACCACCCTCAGCTGCTGGTACACTCGCAGTCTGTAATAACATATTTCCTCATTGTTGGCAGTTTGAGATTGAATCAAATTAGATACAGCATGTGATTTGATGTTAGGCTGTGTAGTAAAACAATTTTGTGGAAAAAAACAAGCATGTGAATCCTCTAACGTGACAGGCAGCAATATCCTGCCATATCAGCCAAGTCACACAGCACTTGACAGTCTGATCCTAATATACCGTATATGACAGACAAGAAAAAAAAATCTGTAGGAAGGTGTCGGCCCATGTTAAGGTCACACTTTAGTTAAAAACTACATCGTATTGCTTCAGGTGAATGAACAAGAGAGAACAAATATTATCAATGAAAATGTGAAATTTGTGATTGATTGTCACTAGATATAATAGTTTACCATTTCATTTGTATTTCTTGTCACGCCAGGCATTGTTTTGTATGCATGGATTAAGATTACCATGTGTATTTGTCCTGTAAACTAAGACTGAAATAGCAGTAAGTTGTACACATGTTTTCTCCAAATCTATCAGTGATTATGGTGATTAAGTTAAAACATACCCAATAATATAACGAAAAAGAATTTTGATGCAATGATCGAACAAAATTAGTATCTGAAACTATTATTTTACCAGGAATGATATATTCTAATATTGTGTTATACTAACTGCAGGGTTTACTATATATATTTACCATAACGAGGGTTATGTGGTAGCACTTTGGAACATTGTGGGATATTTTTTTTTACATATAGAACAATTTGACCAGTCATCATTGAGGTTTCACAGTCTAGCTATTTCCATCACAAAAACAACATGCTGCCATACAATAGTCAAACTACACTAAACATGACATTTAGCAAGTCAAAATATCATGAATATGGCAGTTATGATATATGTATCCATTCTCTGATAGCTAAGGTTCATTTCAAGGTGTCCATCGCAGTAATTTGAGCGTGGTTGCTATGAATGACATGCATGAGTTGTTGGTTTTGTCACAGTACACATGGTACATGGTAAAGCTGAGCCTATGGAAGTTGTAGGTATCAGAGGGACACATGATTTTGATGATATTAATGTAAACATTATTGAATGAAACTTCAAACAGAATTAATAAAATTGATTACAAACATATGTCCAGATATACAATGAACACCTTTTATTACCAGATAGTGTAGCAACAGGATTACCTTGGGTAATTCAATACTTGGCTTACTATGAGATCGGCTTAGCTACAATTATTTATGGAAATAAAAATGTTGAGGAATTGTATATTGTTTTTTGTTTTTATTCTTTGATCGCAGTAGTTTAACTGTTTCCTTCAACTTTGACTTATGTCCACAAATACTAAAATTTGTTGGTCCTGATAGTAGACTGGCAATATTCTTATTCCACACACTGTCAAGAAGCAAACACTGTTCAATACACGCTACATTTATAATACACAGGAACTTGATGATAGCATATATAGCATAATATATTTGTACAGAAAAAAAATCACACCCCTCTACATACAGACTATATGTTGGTTGGTTTGTTGTTTAACGCCGCACTCAGCAATATTCCAGCTATATGACGGCGGTCTGTAAATAATCGAGTCAGTACCAGACAATCCAGTGACTGATATGATGAGCATCGATCCACGCAATTGGAATCGATGACATGCTTCAACCAAGTCAGCGAGCCAGGCCACCCGACCCGGTCGCCTCTCAGTGAGTCTCACGACAATGGGTTGCTGAAGATCTATTCTATCCCGGATCTTCTCGGGTCATGTCTGTACGTATATAGAGGGGGTGATTTTTTCTATACGAATTTATTATGTTATACACGCTATCATCGAGTTCCTGTGATATAATATTTAAATACGTGTTTGTTTGGCAAGAATGACAGGACAGGTCGACTGGGACTCTCCACCTCCTCCTGACAACTAGCATACCGGCACGTCATGAGTACGGTGTGATTGTGATCAAGGCGCATTCTCAAAATATTGTCACCTCCCCAACACCATCTATTTCACCCCCTAGTGTTTACCTGCGCCGCTGTTCCCTCTGTGTACTCCCCTTCGCCTGTGGGAGGTGCGGGCGGCGCCATTTTGAATTAAGTGTCATGTGATTCTACCTAAACTTCCGGTTTTCTTGTCGTTAACGTCTTACAAGGTGGAGAAAACAGGTTCGAATCCGACTGTTGACTTTGAAAAAATTATATATGTATATATAATAATATTTTGCACTTATATTGCAGCTGCTATAATTCATGCGTAATATAATGGTTTATGGACTTTTTAAGAAATGTTACAACCACGGACGTAACGTCTTTGGTTACAACTGAAATATATATGGAATGTATACTGTCTTTGAAGCAGAATTAGTAGTTGTAGAACAATTTGAATATTATTTTACCAAAATAGAACGTGATAAGGAAATAAGATTTAAACTTAGAATATGCGAAACCACCAACACCAAACAATAACACTCGAGAAAATGACGCCAAGGGACACAACTCATGCATGTTTCAACTCTGAATGTATGCCGGTATATGTGTAAAACACTTGAACGTGTGCATGTTCAGTGTAATAGATGGAGTCGCCAAACCTGGTCTCGTCTCATTTAAGTTTCCATTCGTTATTTCATATTACCATCTCAAGAGAAACAAAAGATGTTACGCACTTTCTTTCACTCGAGGTGATGGGGGTTCTTAGAATAATTGTGCATTGCTGACATGGTTTAATGTTGATTGCCTGGATACATGTAGGTACTGGATACATGGATACATGTGGGTACTGGATACATGGATACAAGTGGGTATTGGATACATGGATACATGTGGGTACTGGATACCTGATACATATGGGTACTGGAAACATAGCTACATGTGGGTACTGGATACATGGATACACGTGGGTATTGGATACCTGGATACATGATGGTACTGGATACCTGGATACATGATGGTACTGGATACCTGGATACACATGGATACTGGATACCTGGATACATGATGGTACTGGATACATGGATACACGTGGATACTGGATACCTGGATACATGTAGGTACTGGATACCTGGAAACATGTAGGTACTGGCTGCCCGGAAACATGTAGGTACTGGCTGCCCGGAAACATGTAGGTACTGGATACACGTGGGTACTGTATACCTGGATACATGTAGGTACTGGATACACGTGGGTATTGTATACCTGGATACATGTAGGTAATGGATACCTGGATACACGTGGGTAGATGTAGGAACAGGATACCTGGATACATGTGGGTACTGCATACACGTGGATACTGGATACCTGGATACATGTAGGTACTGGATACATGAATACACGTGGGTAGATGTAGGAACAGGATACCTGGATACATGTGGGTACTGGATACCTGGATACATGTGGGTACTGGTTACTTGGATACATGCATGTAGTAGATGCTTGGATATATGTAGGTACTGGATACTAACTTACGTGAACATACGTTAACTTTCTGGTGTACTCTTAAGTCTCAGGGTTGCCCAGATACCCCGTCGACTGTTGTGTTACATGTACATAGTTCAGTAGGCCTCCGCGAGTTTTGCGTTAATGTACGTAGTTCAGTAGGCCATGTCGACTGTTGTGTTACATGTACATAGTTCAGTAGGCCCCCGAGACTGTTGTGTTACATGCACATAGTTCAGCAGGCCATGTCGACTGTTGTGTTACATGTACAAAGTCCAGTAGGCCATGTCGACTGTTGTGTTACATGCACATAGTTCAGCAGGTCATGTCGACTGTTGTGTTACATGTACATAATAGTTCAGTAGGCCCCCGAGAATGTTGTGTTACATGTACATAGTCCAGTAGGCTATGTCGACTTTTGTGATACATGTACATAGTCCAGTAGGCCAAGTCGACTGTTGTGCTACATGTACATAGTCAGGTAGGCCCCCGAGAATGTTGTGTTACATGTACATAGTTCAGTAGGCCCCGGAGACGGTCGTGTTACATGTACATAGTCCAGTAGGCCATGTCGACTGTTGTGTTACATGCACATAGTTCAGCAGGCCATGTCGACTGTTGTGTTACATGTACATAGTCCAGTAGGCCATGTCGACTGTTGTGTTACATGTACATAGTCCAGTAGGCCATGTCGACTGTTGTGTTACATGCACATAGTTCAGTAGGCCATGTCGATTGTTGTGTTACATGTTCATAGTTCAGTAGGCCCCCGAGACTGTTGTGTTACATGCACATAGTTCAGTAGGCCATGTCGACTGTTGTGTTACATGTACATAGTTCAGTAGGCCCTCGAGACTGTCGTGTTACAAGAACATAGTCCAGTAGGCTATGTCGACTGTTGTGATACATGTACATAGTCCAGTAGGCCATGTCGACTGTTGTGCTACATGTACATAGTCCAGTAGGCCCCCGAGAATGTTGTGTTACATGTACATAGTTCAGTAGGCCCCGGAGACTGTAGTATTACATGTACATAGTCCAGTAGGCAATGTCGACTGTTATATTACATGTACATAGTTCAGTAGGCTATGTCGACTGTTGTGTTACATGTACATAGTTCAGTAGTCCCCCGAGAATGTTGTGTTACATGAACATAGTTCAGTAGGCCCCGGAGACTGTAGTGTTACATGCACATAGTTCAGTAGGACATGTCGACTGTTGTGTTACATGTACATAGTTCAGCAGGCCATGTCGACTGTTGTGTTACATGTACATAGTCCAGTAGGCCATGTCAACTGTTGTGTTACATGTACATAGTTCAGTAGGCCCCCGAGACTGTTGTGTTACATGTACATAGTCCAGTAGGCCATGTCGACTGTTGTGTTACATTCACATAGTTCAGTAGGCCATGTCGACTGTTGTGTTACATGTACATAGTTCAGTAGGCCCCCGAGACTGTTGTGTTACATGAACATAGGTCAGTAGGCCATGTCGACTGTTGTGTTACATGTACATAGTTCAGTGGGCCATGTCGACTGTTGTGTTACATGTACATAGTCCAGTAGGCCATGTCGACTGTTGTGTTACATGTACATAGTTCAGTAGGCCATGTCGACTGTTGTGTTACATGTACATAGTCCAGTAGGCCATGTCGACTGTTGTGTTACATGTACATACTCCAGTAGGCCATGTCGACTGTTGTCCATGTAAACGGAGAGTGGCCCTCCCGAACGTCCCGCACTTCCAGAACGTCACGCGCTTGTAGAGTGTCACTCGTCTCCAGTCACGCACCTCCAGAACGTCACGCGCCTCAAGAGAGTCACGCACGTCCAGAGTGTCACGCATGGTGTGGACTATCCGCCAGTGCTCACCTGTCTTTAAATAAAATTACCTGAGTGTATAAATTGATGCAGAACGATCAACTTTTACCAACAACTTCATCCGTACAACATAACACAGCATTCTCAGAACAGTTTATTTACAGGTAACAATGGTAACGATATCTAACAAATCATGCAGTAAAAGCACTATAAATCTATAACCAAAAAAATTAAACAGTATAAGCTAAAGTAGCTACTGTGATATATGTTTTCCATCAACAATAGCAGTGAAAAGCGAAACAAAACATATCTATCAAAGAAAACAATTTCTAAAATTAACAACGAAATTACCTTGCCTTTATACCAAATACAACATCATCGACAGACCATTTAGGCCTCCCTCCTCCATTCAAATCCAATCCTAAAAGGATTACGATTCTTGTCCAAAACAATTTTATCCCGAATTAAATAATTACTACAAGAAAGACTATGATATTACCTATTACAAAAATAGTATTACCTAGTGTACATAACCACGTGTGGACATGATTTCTCTATGATGAACATGTTCAACCTTACGCGGCAAAGGTCACTTTGGTTATAAGTTAATACCTTCTACTGAGAAACGTAATATACACTGAATCTATGCTAAAGCTTAAAAATGGAGTTTGTAAAATAAACATCTTAATGTCTCAAATCACAATGACAAACAATGCTAGACAATATAAAAATACAATTTACAATAAAATATTAGTATCTGTAGCAACATATACATAATATGATAGTTTTTTTTCTAATGACAAATCATGTCTATGATAAGGCCTTCTATGTTCTAGCTCCGAACGGGAACAAGGAAGCACAACGCTGCTTGGAGTATACATCATGTAAACTTTTTGACCCTTCTGTTCACCCATGTGCAATCATTCTAACGCTGGTGGCGCAGTCACAAACACGGGGTACTCAATGGGGCTAACATGGACCGTCTGCGTCGCAAGAGAACACACCTTCGTCTTGACAACGCAGACGTTGCATCCCCCAAGGTCATCCTCATTACAGGTATAAATATTGCATATTTAATCTAACACTCCTGCTTTCACCGCGTTTTAAGGCCGATTCCGTGGTCTAGTGGTAGAGCGTCCGCTCGGAGAGCAGAAGGTCCGGGTTTCGATCCCCGGCCGCGTCATACCTATAGACGTTACTTTACTGTTACTGTACTTGTTGCTGCCCTGTCTGGCGCTCGGCATTAAGGGGCTTAAACAAGGACTGGTCGGCCTGGAGTCAGCATACTGTGTCTGAGTGGGGTATTCCTGTTAAACTGTGGCGTGGTATCTCAGTGGGCTAGCACTATAAATCGGCATCAATCCGGACTAGTACAAGCAGCCACACACACACGTCCATGCACGTCGCTAGATAAGTGCAATACTCTTGGACGCGACGTTAAACCCCATTTCACCTCACCTTCATACCATTTTAACATTTATATATAACGATTATCACTTTGTTACACTTTGTTATGTTATTGGCACCACAAAAAACGTATTCCTCCAAAAGGCAACTTTGTGTATTTAATTTATTAAATATAAGTACGTAACAGAGAGTACACAAGCACACTGACTACATTAACAGCTGGTGATATGGTAGTGGCACAGCGCCAGGTCTCCCTGCTAGCGTGTCAGGGCGGTATGACATCCTGTATGGTATCTCTCGCTCTGTCATTTGCTATGATTACACACGGTATGTAATTGAATAAAAGCTGGTTATTAATAATCAATATACAGCATGCACAATTTAGTTCTGATGACCGGTCGTATGCAGCTTGTAAACAGATTGTAATAAAGGATTGCGTTTTACATGGCTGGTTCCTGCAAGTAAACATCAATGAACGTCAAGCATTCGTTCACTGTAGTGAATATAATACACTGAAGGCAAAAAAACCTGTGGTCATGTTGTTATATATAATAATGTGATTACTTTAAAAACAACAACTATAACTAAACATTCACCTCCTTTGCTTTGAAAAAGTATACTCATATTTTTTGTGTTGAATATTTAAAGTGTACTGGTATTTATTTGGGTTGAAGATTTAAAGTGTACTGGTATTTATTTGGATTGAAGATTTAAAGTGTACTGGTATTTATTTGGATTGAAGATTTAAAGTGAACTGGTATTTGTTTGGGTTGAAGATTTAAAGTGTACTGGTATTTCTTGTCTGTCTTGGCAATGTTAATATGTATAGCCATATTGTCAATGTCATCAAAATTATATTTAGTTTTCAGTTATAAAATATATTGATCTAATGACATATCACTTAAGTGCCAGGTACAACCTGAACAGTATCGCTCAACCATGGTTAGACTCAGCTAGGTCACTACGAATACATTCAAGAGAATGTCTCTTCTGTACCTGCTATATAGAAGATGAATTTCATATTGTACACGTGTATCGATCATAAATAGATTCGAGGAAAAATACATCCCTGCTAATTACTTGTACACTTACGGTAGGAAATGGCTTGTGAGACAGTTATGGGCAGGTAATTCCCCTACTCAATTTAAACTTTCCATATACAGTTTGCATTGTCTGCTAGTGAGAGAACAGAAATCTGTGTTTTTATGTTGGGTACAGAAACATGCACAAAACATACTCAAGTCATTGTAATTATCGCCCTGGTGAATCCACAGCGGCGAATACATGTACAACTCAGTCGATATGCATCGTACGCCGCGTCAGCCTTTACCGTCACACCACGCTTAATACTGCCTTGGCTATATAGATGTGTTTTTAATAACGTACCGTCACACCATGCATGATCTCCTGCAGTAAACACCGTGTCCAAATCAGTTGTAGTCAGACAACATTTAGGGCAACTGACCCTGGTCACTCGTGCCCCTTTCACTGTATACCCGTTCATCAATGCAGCGTTCACGTGCAGCATATTGCACAGAGGAACACGAAGCCGAATGCGTTCCACAAACACGCTGCTATCGTCTCCAATACGAAGCCCGTCCTGAACTTCCACCGGATTGTGGTGAGGGTGTACTCGGAGCCGATGCTGCGACGAGGGACTTCGCGTTCCCTAGGGGGCAAGCTGGCTCCGTAGATGATGATGGTGACGAGCATACAGAAGCCTGCAGATGAGATGAATCTGGTTACATGGCATACAATTACAAATCAGAACGAAACATATCGCTTTGGCTTACACGTACAAGGAACATATACCATTTATTCTCATTTCCCCTCAAAACATGCATGGGCGAGTCGAGTTAAAGAACAAATAAGCGTATGTGACCATAACATAATTCATGCAGAGATTCATTCAAGAGAAAACCTAAAACGATACTCTCTTATACGATCACCTAAGGTACACAGACTTTGGTTACTAACAATTGAAAGGCCGGAACACTTCTATGATTTAGCATATTTATTATGCCTTAGCACCTACAGTATGCAATCTGATGAATGTTTATGCGGCACATTTGCTTTTGATATTATCAAACATGTGTTTATGTATTGTAAAAAGACTCAACAACAAAGAAATATTCTTGTTGAGTCTATTATTGATTTACTAGATGTGACAACTTTTTCTAGTATCTGGAACGATGATGACGAAACCTTTTTGTCCTTTTTACTTGGCGGTTTGCCAACAGAAAGTACTATGGCAATTGAATACAATCTATGGGCGAATATAATGCTTCGTGTATGTAAAACTGTTAAAATGTGGAAAAACCTACTAAGAAACATTATTTGACAACGATGTAAAACTGTCTGTACATGCAATATATCAGCTGTTATATATATATACATTTATATCTCATATCAATGTATCTTCATCAACTGGAGGAAATAAAGATGATCTATCTATCGCTTTGGTTTACACGTACAATGTGAATAGTGCTCTTGCACCCACAACACATCATATGAGTATTATGCACGTGGTGAACAGACCGAGCATGGTGTACGCACAACACACTTTGTGAACATAGTGCACGTAGGTAATAAAGCTATAATATATTGCATACACAACACAGCGTGTGAACATAGGGCACGTGTTAATAAAGCTATTGCATACACAACACAGCGTGTGAACATAGGGCACGTGTTAATAAAGCTATTGCATACACAACACAGCGTGTGAACATAGGGCACGTGGTAATAAAGCTATTGCATACACAACACAGCGTGTGAACATAGGGCACGTGGTAATAAAGCTATTGCATACACAACACAGCGTGTGAACATAGTGCACGTGTTAATAAAGCTATTGCATACAAAACAAAGCGTGTGAACATAGGGCACGTGGTAATAAAGCTATTGCATAAACAACACAGCGTGTGAACATAGGGCACGTGGTAATACAGCTATTGCACACACAACACAGCGTGTGAACATAGTGCACGTAGGTAATAAAGCTATTGCATACACAACACAGCGTGTGAACATAGTGCACGTGTTAATAAAGCTATTGCATACACAACACAGCGTGTGAACGTATAGCACGTGGAAATACAGCTATTGCACAGACAACACAGCGTGTGAACATATATAGTGCATGTAGGTAATAAAGCTATTGCATACACAACACAGCGTGTGAATATAGTGCACGTGTTAATAAAGCTATTGCATACACAACACAGCGTGTGAATATAGTGCACGTGTTAATAAAGCTATTGCATACACAACACAGCGTGTGAACATAGTGCACGCGGGCAGTGACGTTATTGCATACACAACACAGTGTGTGAACATAGTGCACGTGGATAATATAGCTCATGGACACGCTGGGAGTGGATCTAGGAGCCACAATACGGAATGTGAACATTAGTATTACACCTGAAGAGCACACCGACATTGAGAGCTGCCAGTCACAGTCACAAGCTGGTCTGCTACCTGGGATAGAATACATGTGGATGGACGATCATTGCTACACTCACCCCCGATATACCAGATTGGCAGGAACACCTTGAAGATGGTATCCTCGTCCCAGGGCCCGAGCGCCATCACAAGGGAGAGAACTACGCACACCACACCGAAAAACAGACCCAGGACAGCGAATGCCTGTGTTGCCCGTACCCATCCTGCAGACAGACGAAATAACAAATACAATTTGCAAAAATTTAAATATTTGAAAAACACATTAGAGTATGTAAACAAAACAACACCTCGTACACCAAATAACCTGATAATCAGTGGTGCAACTGCACCTGGATGTACTTCATTAGATGGGCATCGTACCCCATATTTGATCAACTAGATAAGATCGCTTTGTTTTGATTAATATAAGCATCTAGTTTAAATGTGAACACGAATACTTATGCTGATATGGCGTTTTTTTTAAATCTAAGTGATAACAAAACTACTTCACTACATTGCCAGTTACCTGGGACGCCCACTTCGAGCAGTGAGATACATTCGTCCTGGTAGAAGTCCCCAGCCAGAAGGTCAATGTCGTGACTGAATCCACACGCTGACCAGATCCCCATGGACGCTCGACCAACCTCTCTCCAGGTGTCCTCGGTCACCACTGTCCAGCTCGGCAGAATGAACCCAACAAAATAGGTGGTCAAGATGGCCACCTCGATAACAACAAACGCCAGGGCAGCACGTTTCTCGGACAGGACGGCCATAGTACGAGGTTGAGGATCACTTCGGATAGCGGGATTTGCCACTTGTTATACAACGCAGTGGAGACAACGAAGTTTGTTCCGATGTTACGTTCTGTCCTTCGTCACCTTGTAAACATCTCGTATTCCTGTAAACAAGCAAATCAGTATGTGTTTGAATGTTCGCCAATATAACTTTCCGCTGACGACCATGTGCTGGAACTGTGTTGTTGGGCGGGGCGGGGCTGCACATCCAGCACGTACAAATTATCCCCGTCCTTCGCCGAGAATATGAATTGGTGGTTGCCGAAGACAGAACGATTCCATCGTGTTGCAGCTGGTTGTCCCGGCAGAGCTAGGAAAGTTATTATTAGACCAAGGACTCCACAGATTGGGTATTGTGTACCATCAAGGTGTACAATAAATAATGTAAGAATTAAGCACTTAATGTTCAGACGACATATTCACGAATGTATATTAACCACAGTAACCTAGCTGTGCTTGTTGAAATGAGCGACCAAAAATCTGGGGGTTAGACTCGGTCACTCGTTTCGTAGATTTCGTTTCATCGTACACCGACGTCGTGGATTGCTCCTAGAAGCAATCACTGGATTATCTGGACCAGACCAGACATATTTACGCGCCTCCGTCCCATAACTAGAATATTGCTGGTTGCCGGGTTAAACAAAAGTGTATACAATACTATTACTAGTTATGCACTAAGGTAACTATGACAGTGCGTCTGGCAGGAAGAAATCCCGTGGTTTTGCTACAAATCGCTATCAGATCTCCTCATTAAAGACACCAGTATGTCCAGAGCAATGATTAGATTTTGACACCGTCGTTCCAGGTGTAATGAAGCGATGTCGAACGACCAACGTTTGTTTATGTCTAATGGGCTAAACGAACAGATATTACGTGCAACGTCACTCACTCACCCACTCACCCCTCAAGCAAGGTATACCTGTAAAGTTAGCCGCTTACTTCAATGTTCAGCACTACTCCAGCCCGACAAAAGGCATATTTTAACTCGGACATCGGATTAAATTGACCAATTGGAATGCCGTCTTAATTGTCCGGCGCATAAAGCTTATCTGACCATACGTTCCCTAAACTTGTTTAAGACAGCTATAACCTTCTCTCAACGTACACAACACTCTCCCCAGAACTGTACCAGGAGAAGATCGTGATCTATTTATAAACAGCCTGCTAGCATCAAGGTGTAGGTAACGTTGTAAAATCCCAGAGAGTAAGAAAAACTTACGCTACAGATATTATCAAACCATGTGTTGAAAGCAAACGCTACCGTTATCCATAACACTTCGCATGTGATTATAAACAGAAGCGGACAGAGGGTATCTTCTACACTACCTTCTTCGTATATTCTGGCTCCGTGCCCTTGGGTTCCGTCCTTGATCCAATGCTGCTAAATCCAGTACAATTTACAGTAATCCGGCGGACGCCGCCTCGCTTGGCAGTAGGTGAGTTAGCGCGGCGTTACGGCAGATGAGTAGCTCTTCAAACCCCCCTCCGTTGCAGCTACCCCCTCCACCTCTCGCCCCCAGACACACTCGTGTCTCCTGACATACTCGCATAAGTCTAAAAAACGTTGATTATCACAGGTGGAAATATATGAAATTGTCGTTTATGAAATACGTCCAGATCAATGTTGATTCTCCATCACGTGATGTAAAAGTATTACATTGTCGGTTATCACATACGTCCATCCCGATGTTGATTCACATACACGTGATGGACATCTATTACAATACTGATTAATTATCACATACGTCCAGACCAATATATGTTAATTCTCACATATGTACTCAGTAATACTCCAGCCATGTGAACATTGTTGAACCCCACATGGAAGTTAAACTATGATTATTTTCACATATTCTACCCAACACAATGTGAATTCACACATGCATATCTTGAACAATGTTAATTCTTATTTAGTGCATTATCAGAATCTGTCCAAGGAACCTTCATCATCAAGGCGTTTTGTCACATCAACAATACTGATGTCGTGTGGCACCTTGTTTGATCCGCAATTCAAAACCAAGGCCTGTGATATTATCAGCACAGGAACTACGTCTAAAGTTATATAATCATGTGTACAAAATACGTTTTCGGCAAAACACCTACTTTTACAGATGTATGTGGTCTGCGACGATGAAAAATGCCCCTGGTTTCCAAAGTTTTAAAGGGGATCTACTTTGAACACACAAACAACCCTGTGCATGCTTCATATGCTCACTTGAATCTCTTTCAGTGTATACCTGTTGGAGGTCAGTTCTGCACAGTAAAACTGTGGTAAATAGTGATAAGATGTCTAGTTATAGAACACACAGATGACCTTCGCTTGGAGTATATGTCATGTATTGTTTCTCGTTGGAGACAGAGAGCTGTTGGTTGCGCTGTACCATGTCATGATCCCTGGATCTCGTATGCAGTAACATGATGTCTAGTTGTAGTATAAAGGGAAATGCTCCCTATCCAGTTGCAGGATATATAGAAAATTATGTTTACGAACACACAATGCCTTTTAGAAAGTGATCAAATGTAACAAATGTTATATTTGGGATAGCACTTTCTGATTAAAGTACAGATTGTCGTACTTTTTTTGGTTGAGTCCCGTCCGGGATTCGAACCCACACTGCCAGAGTGAGGCACCTAATCGCCAGCACACACAGTCAGTGATCTCACCCACTCAACCACCGAGGCTTCCACAAAAATGAAAGTCCGACAACTGGTAGTGTAGATCACGTACTTTGTGTACCCCTCTGACAAGTGTAAATTGGCACGGCTCCCATGGCCGAAAGCTATGAACACACAATTCGGACGGGACTCAACCCAAAAAAGAAGGATAATCTGTAATTTACTCAGAAAGTGGTATCCCAGTTATAACAATTGTTAAATTATGTTTATGGTTGTAATATATACGTATGGGGGTCTCTGGTTGTAGAATAAAAAGATGGTGTGTAATTGCAGTATGTAAAAGTTGTGGTCTCTGGCTGTGCTATGTGTTGGGTGTCTCAATCTGTAGTGTGTAGAGGTCTCTAGTTGTAGTTTCAATAGATCCATGTACATATATTCTAAAACTTTACAAATGTGGTTATAATGTACAAAGCGTGTGGCGGAATCACGGAATCATTATACGTTGCAGCCATTGCTAGACTCCTGTTACTGTGACTATAGAAGTGGAGCTACGCCATACACTGAATGCTTCCCCCTTATCACACAGCTGGAATTCGACTCCATTTTGTCACTCATCCAAACATTTCAAGAATTTACACTTTTAAAAATGGGCGTCTAAAATAGGACTGCACCACACTGAAAGCTCTTCGTGGGCCTTGCTTTAGACAGTGAAATGATAAAAAGTCAATTATTATCAAGTGGTTGATGTACTGCCGTACACGGTGGAATGATATAACGTCATTTATACCAAGTGGTTAATGTACTGCTTTACACGGCATGCGTTCAACGGCTAACAAGACAGGCGGTAACAACGCTTACCACCTGTGTTTGATGAGCTAGAGATATAGACCTACTAGTGAGGTCCAAGGTCAAGACCATGAGATGTCTACTCTACGAGAGGATATGTCCCACTCTCAGAGCTCCTTGTCAGCTGAAGGAAAGTGTAAAAACAATTATCACGTAACGATTTCTTTCAGGTCACACTTAAAGTGCGAGCGAGAGGCAATTGTTTGTTTTTGAATACGAGTCTGCCCACAACCTACAAGGGCCTTGCAGCATGTGGCGTCATATGAAGCGATAGGAAATAGAACATGCGTTTATAATTTCACACGGAAGTACTTTAACGGGGGTTACAGATGCTTTCAAATGTCGCGTACAGCGTTGTGCATCCCGCTCGGACCCTGTGTATCAGTGGGACTTCCACGCCTAAGAACCATGTTAAAAACATGGCGCCGGTAAAATAAACTTGTTGACGATTCGACTACACAGTATTTTCACACAAAATAGAGTACAGATGTCAAGTTTCTAATCTCAACAGCGAGCTGCTATTGTAAACGATCGCGTATATTATTTAACACAATAACGGAATCCTTTTTTCGAGTTTCTGAAAATCCACGAAACAGACATTGCTAGACTTGCACAAGTCCCTAAGACAATAATTATTAGTTGTAATAATAATTTCAATATTATATGAATAATAAGAACAAGTTTTCCCCATAAAAGACCAGTGAACTGTCCGCTTGTCTTGACCTCCTTATCATAAGAACAGAATTACTACACATCCATCCATGGTCTTATCTTTCAGTACAGCCTTGGAGCAAGGCTAAGCCATTGCTCGCTCGCATTTGTTATAACAGTGTGTGTTATACTATGGCGTGTTGTACAAAGGACACACGTCTCTAATGCGTTCAGTTACACATCTATCACTACGTAATCGGGGAGAATTTTGTCCAAGTTCCCTTCTCTGCAAACTAGAAATCCCACATCGTACGATTATTTAAATTAACTGACAACAATTACAGTAATATAAAAAAAATCCTTTAATATATTTAAGTACGTGCAATCAGTACGTTTTATTAAATTTGAATAATGTGTGTAGATTTGACTTAATGATGTACAGTGGTTGAGAGTGGTTCAATAGGTATTCCTCATAGGGTTCTAACTTATCGATCCTTGTATTATCACGCCGTCATACATTAGTAAGTAATGTTGTTTATGGAGGCTCAAAAGCCCCAGTCTCTTCATGTCCCATCACGTCTCCTCACCTCTGACACCATATTGCAAATGTGACGGGAGAGCAGCATCCTCAATACTCCGCACATTAATCATATAGTACATGTACGTCATCAACTCATGATAAACATAAACCTCTATGCATCTTGTAAACAAAACTATGCTATATCTTTCTGTATAACGTACAGTGTGCGAATATTTAGTATATCTTCTATGCTTGAAATTGCATTCTCTCCAAAATGTAGCTCGTTTTTACTCAGCCCTGTGGGAGCGTTTTGTACAATATAATTCTTGATTCTTGTTGTGCTTCATGTGTATTGTCTATGGGTTCAGTCATGATTCCTTTGCATGGAAATGAAACACATAGTTGCTGCAATATGATAAGGTTTTCAAGTAGGAAGAACGCATTGAGTTCCATCCTCATCTATAACTGTAACCGAAGCACGACCAGTACATGCCTTGTAGCATCCTGCCTTCAATAAAGGGGTGCCGTGTTGAAAGGTTAAAGGTCAAATAACCCCCGCAGCTCATTCGTAATTTAATATCCGTTATCAGAAGAGACGGTTCTAAATGTTCAAATTAATCTTTAAGATATGGCCACTGACGCGAAGAATTCAAATTTCAGAAAAAGAAATATTTTGATTACTTTCTCGATATTCGATGTTACTGAATCGTAATTGTGAAATGATTGTAACATATGATCAGTTTATATATAAAAAAGTATTTCATATACACACCGCGGCTTCCGGGATGAAAATTGGAGTGAAAAATACATTCATGAAAAGTTAGTCCACAACCCAGTACACGGCATCAATGAAGTATATGCTTAAATGCTACAGTTACATAAAGTAGCTGCAGAACAGAACACACAATCCTATCACTCAGTGTGAGATAATTCTAAGAATGTAATTGGTAGTACTGCATGGAGTAGCGAGTACATTCTGGAGCTGCACTAATGTCTGAATGGAGCCGTCAGGCAACGCGCAGTGTGGAATTCCGATGTTTCTGAAAGTTATTTATGGAAACGAGCTTTCCGATATCTTGAGCAATGCAAATGCATGCAAATACAGAGTATTGACTTACGATCGACAATCAGGACGTGGATGCCTAGCTGGTGTAACGCCCTGTAATACTTGGAGAAATCACAGCCCCGCTCTGTGAATCACAGTTTCTCAGTTGACTATTTTTGGTGTGTCTGTTTACTGGCGGGGCGGTGTCTACCCAAATTGTTCCCCGTGAGGTTTATTTATACCAGGCAGGTGCTTGAGAAAATAGCTCTTCTAACAACAGTGGGGTTATTTTTAGATTGGTATGACTAGTGAGCTGTCAGAATTATGAAGCTTTAAATACACTTGTTGTCTTGTGTATATTTGATCTTGCCAGTCTAGTGATTGTAAACTACTGGTTTCAGTGACGAAGATTTCCTTTAACTTGACTGTGTGTCCTTCAAATTGCATAGATACAATATGTTGCATTTAAATGTACGCTATTATTTAGGTATATGGTCATGTGGTATGAGCTTAAACTGTTCCGGTCGTACAAAGAATTTCTTTCCCGCATTTGACATCAAAAGCCGACAGTGAAGATCCGGGGTAGAATCAGAGGTCTTCAGCAACCCACGCGTGCCGTAAGAGGCGACTATGCTTGTCGTAAGAGACGACTAACGGGATCAGATGGTCAGTCTAGCTGTCTTGGTTGATAAATGTCATCGTATCCCAACTCCGTGGATTGATGTTCATGATGTCAATCACTGGATTGTCTGGTCCAGACTTATTTACAGATCGCCGTCATATAGCAGGAATATTGCTGAGTGCGGCGTTAAACAACAAACAAACAAACAAAACATCAAAAGCCACAAGAATACATAGAAACAATACATGACTGTTCATGAAATAAGAGGATGAATGCATATAACACATTTACGTCTTGTGACCTTCACACCATTATCATCTTTGTAACAGGCACACTACTGACATGCCGGGCAGAAAGAATACACCCGTGTTTGATGGTGGCTAAAATGAAACAAACAGGAAGGTATTTCACTGGTGATGTATTAGATATGGGTGAAATTGTTGTGTTTCAGACATTCAGTTAAGCTACTTTTTGGAAGATGGTACACCTATAAGACGAACCTAAGTCATGTATTAAATGACTTACAGTATTTAACCACATTACTGTAGTTACTTAATATACAACCATTTGAATCACGATCTTTTTGACTTGTGTTTAAGAATTCGAAAAACGAGAAACTACAATACGACCCGATGCTAACTTCAGGCTGCTGTCTTAACAAGCACAGTCTAGCGTTATCATTGTAGCATTTTTCCCCGGCGTGTCTAGACCAGACTTCCCAGGCCTAACTGGGTTAATTAGTGAATGTTCCAAGATCTTCATAAGTCATCATTCCATTTAGTAAAACTAAACATCACTTATCTAGAAGAACGTCCGTAGTGTTATCGTACACCGCAGGTATGTGATTTTGTGCTGCCCCGTTTGTCTGTAATGTCGTAGTGCCCCTTCTGTCTGTAATGGCGTAGTGCCCCTTTTCTCTGTAATGTCGTAGCGCCCCTTTTGTCTGTAATGTCGTAGTGCCCCTTCTGTCTGTAATGGCGTAGTGCCCCTTTTGTCTGTATTGTCGTAGCGCCCCTTTTGTCTGTTATGTCGTAGTGCCCCTTTTGTCTGTTATGTCGTAGTGCCTCTTTTGTCTGTAATGTCGTAGTGCCCCTTTTGTCTGTAATGCCTCTTTTGTCTGTTATGTCGTAGTGCCCCTTTTGTCTATTATGTCGTAGTGCCTCTTTTGTCTGTAATGTCGTAGTGCCTCTTTTGTCTGTAATGTCGTAGTGCCGCTTTTGTCTCTTATGTCTTATTGCCCCTTTTGTCTGTAATGTCGTAGTGCCCCTTTTGTCTGTAATGTCGTAGTGCCCCTTTTGTCTGTAATGTCGTAGTGCCTCTTTTGTCTGTAATGTCATAGCGCCCCTTTTGTCTGTAATGCCCCTTTTGTCTGTAATGTCGTAGTGCCCCTTTTGTCTGTTATGTCGTAGTGCCTCTTTTTTCTGTAATGTCGTAGTGCCCCTTTTGTCTGTAATGTCGTAGTGCCCCTTTTTTCTGTTATGTCGTAGTGCCTCTTTTGTCTGTTATGACGTAGTGCCTCTTTTGTCTGTAATGTCCTAGCGCCCCTTTTGACAGTAATGTCGTAGTGCCCCTTTTGACTGTTATGTCGTGGTGCCTCTTTTGTCTGTAATGTCCTAGCGCCCCTTTTCTCTCAAATGTCGTAGTGCCCCTTTTGTCTATTATGTCATAGCACACCTTTTGTCTGCAATGCCCCTTTTGTCTGTAATGTCGTAGTGCCCCTTGTGTCTGTTATGTCGTAGTGCCCCTATTTTCTGTTATGTCGTAGTGCCCCTTTTGTCTGTTATGTCGAAGTGCCCCTTTTGTCTGTAATGTCGTAGTGCCCCTTTTGTCTGTTATGTCGTAGTGCCTCTTTTGTCTGTAATGTCCCTTTTGTCTGTAATGTCGTAGTGCCCCTTTTGTCTGTTATGTCGTAGTGCCTCTTTTGTCTGTAATGTCCCTTTTATCTGTAATGTCGTAGTGCCCCTTTTTTCTGCAATGTCGTAGTGCCTCTTTTGTCTGTAATGGCGTAGTGCCCATTTTGTCTGTAATGTCGTAGTGCCCCTTTGTCTGTTATGTCGTAGTGCCTCTTTTGTCTGTAATGTCATAACGCCCCTTTTGTCTGTAATGCCCCTTTTGTCTGTCATGTCGTAGTGCCCCTTTTGTCTGTTATGTCGTAGCGCCCCTTTTGTCTGTAATGTCGTAGTGCCCCTTCTGTCTGTAATGGCGTAGTGCCCCTTTTGTCTGTAATGTCGTAGCGCCCCTTTTGTCTGTTATGTCGTAGTGCCCCTTTTGTCTGTTATGTCGTAGTGCCTCTTTTGTCTGTAATGTCGTAGTGCCCCTTTTGTCTGTAATGCCTCTTTTGTCTGTTATGTCGTAGTGCCCCTTTTGTCCCTTATGTCGTAGTGCCTCTTTTGTCTGTAATGTCGTAGTGCCCCTTTTGTCTCTTATGTCTTAGTGCCTCTTTTGTCTGTAATGTCGTAGTGCCCCTTTGTCTGTTATGTCGTAGTGCCTCTTTTGTCTGTAATGTCATAGTGCCCTTTTGTCTGTAATGCCCCTTTTGTCTGTAATGTCGTAGTGCCCCTTTTGTCTGTAATGTCGTAGTGCCCCTTTTGTCTGTTATGTCGTAGTGCCCCTTTTGTCTGAAATGTCGTAGTGCCCCTTTTGTCTGTTATGTCGTAGTGCCTCTTTTGTCTGTAATGTCATAGCGCCCCTTTTGTCTTTAATGCCCCTTTTGTCTGTAATTTCGTAGTCCCCCTTTTGTCTGTAATGTTTTAGTGCCCCTTTTGTCTGTAATATCGTAGTGCCTCTTTTGTCTGTAATGTCGTAGTGCCCCTTTTGTCTGTAATGTAGTAGTGCCCCTTTTGTCTGTAATGTCGTAGTGCCCCTTTTGTCCATTATGTCGTAGTGCCTCGTTTGTCTGTAATGTCGTAGTGCCCTTTTTGTCTGTAATATCGTAGTGCCCCTTTTGTCTGTAATGTCGTAGTGCCCCTTTGTCTGTTATGTCATAGTGCCTCTTTTGTCTGTAATGTCATAGTGCCCCTTTTGTCTGTAATGCCCCTTTTGTCTGTAATGTCGTAGTGCCCCTTTTGTCTGTTATGTCGTAGTGCCCCTTTTTACTGTAATGTCGTAGTGCCCCTTTTGTCTGTAATGTCGTAGTGCCCCTATTTTTCTGTTATGTCGTAGTGCCTCTTTTGTCTTTTATGACGTAGTGCCTCTTTTGTCTGTAATGTTATAGTGCCCCTTTTGTCTTTAATGCCCCCTTTGTCTGTAATTTCGTAGTGCCCCTTTTGTCTGTAATGTTTTAGTGCCCCTTTTGTCTGTAACGTCGTAGTGCCTCTTTTGTCTGTAATGTCGTAGTGTCCTTTTTGTCTGTTATGTCGTTGTGCCTCTTTTGTCTGTTATGTCGTAGTGCCTCTTTTGTCTGTAATGTCATAGTGCCCCTTTTGTCTGAAATGTCTTAGTGCCCCTTTTGTCTGTAATGCCCCTTTTGTCTGTAATGTCGTAGTGCCCCTTTGTCTGTTATATCGTAGTGCCTCTTTTGTCTGTAATGGCATAGCGCCCCTTTTGTCTGTAATGTCGTAGTGCCCCTTTTGTCTGTAATGTCATAGCGCCTCTTTTTTCTGTAATGCCCCTTTTGCCTGTAATGTCGCAGTGCCCCTTTTGTCTGTAATGTCGTAGTGCCCCTTTTGTCTGTAATGTCGTAGTGCCCCTTTCGTCTGTAATGTCGTAGTGCCCCTTTTGTCTGTTATGTCGTAGTGCCCCTTTTGTCTGTAATGTCGTAGTGCCCCTTTTGTCTGTTATGTCGTAGTGCCTCTTTTGTCTGTAATGTAGTAGTGCCCCTTTTGTCTGTTATGTCGTAGCGCCCCTTTTGTCTGTAATGTCGTAGTGCCCCTTTCGTCTGTAATGTCGTAGTCCCTTTTTTGCCTGTAATGTCGTAGTGTCCCTTTTGTTTGTAACGTTTTAGTGCCCCTGTTGTCTGTAATGTTGTAGTGCCCCTTCTGTCTGTAATGTTGTAATGCTCAATTTGTCTGTAATGTCATATTCATCCGTAGTGTTTCAATTCCCTGTAGTATGTCCTATTAAACGGTAGATGTTGTGCCTATCTCCAATAAGTTGTTGCAGCTATCTGTTCATCTGTTGTGTCCATTCTGTCTTGACTGTTGTAATTACTGCCCCGGAGCTCGGAACGTTAAAACGACCTAAAGGGGGCTTCTTCCAGCTGTCTAGACTAACATCTAGTTTCTGAAATGAACATATTTTACAGAAAAAAGCAGTTGTTAAGTAATAAAAATAACTAAGCATTTCTTAAGCGCTGGTATCCAGGTAAGAAAACTGCTCAAAAGCGCTGGCAGGAAACTCTAACACAGATGGGGTTCTACTACAAGCTAAGTGTTCCTGAAGAGGTAGGTCTTCAGTCTGCTCTGGTAGTTATAAATATATTAAAAAGGAGCCAGAGACTTTCTTCATTTTCAGATGATACTGCAGAAATATAGACTTGACAAAAATGGGCTGTATTGGATATATTTGTTTCAGGGTCTGTATGACACACTACAGGCTGTCTAACACTGTCCGCTGGAGTCCCCAGCCGCCCTGAGTCGATTGGCTCGC